ACAAACCGAGAACTCGCTGGATGTATACACTGGCGGTTAATTCTGATCAATCAAACCCGCCAAAGTCACCACCGCCAAAATCACCTCCATCACCAAACCCATCTTGATATCCGTCACCATAATCATCATCCAATGCATTTGCTAAAAGCGCTCCACCCAGCAATCCACCACCCATTCCAAGCGCCGCGGCTCCAGCCATTCCCATTCCACCTCCGCCACGCCCGCCTAGTCTGTTATGCGGTACGTAGCCCTGTTGTGGTGGGAATGGAGCGCCATAGTATCCACCTGCACCTTGCTGCGGGTAGCCGGCATATCCACCAAACGGTTGCTGTTGGGGAGGATACATGTATTGTGACTGTGGTTGTGGCGACGGGGAATAGTAGGCTGCGTGCGATGCATGAGGTGAATGAGGCGCATGAGGAGCATGGGGAGCATGCAATCGAGAGGTAGATGAGGAAGCGGATGATGATGCGTGGCGTTTGGCTTTATCAAGTAGTTTTCCGAAAAACCCGCTTTTCCCTTTACTTTGCTGCTGGTTTGAAGAAGATGGAGAAGGAAGTGTAGGCTCGGGGATTCTGGTGGAATGTGACGTTCTTGGTTCTGTGTTATTCGCTTCAAGGACGGAATCGTAGCCTTGTTGTCGGGCCCGCTCGTTTTCTTCCTCTTGTAGCTGTGCGGCAAGTCGAGCATCGTCGTCGCCTGAGTCTGGCGATTTCTTAACATCCTTTTTCTCCGGTGACACAGGCGTCTCATGAGGGTAGCGATTTGAGTTTTCGGAAAGATATGGATTATTTGAGCCAAGTTGTGGCTGTTCAGGTAATGGCCCCTTTTTCTGGTCGGCTTTAGCAGCTGTAGCGGCAGCTTCTGTATTTCCGGAGCCCGACGCTTCATAAGATGGCGGAGGAGAAGATGAAGCAGCAGGAGGTCGCACGGGAGGTTGCGCAACAGACTCCGTTGGCATGGTTGGCGGATCCCACTGTGAAACACCAGTGCTCAAATCAACATAATACCTAAAGATACCATCAGCGGCTGCAATTGCATAGACAGTATGGCACAAATGACAACTACCTGAACGCTTACCATTGCCTGTATGCGTCACTATACTGTGCCCTCCACCCCTCTGGCACCGGGGGCGGCGGAGGACCGGAAGGAGGCGCAAACGACATGAAGACAAGTGATTTTTCAGAATGGTTCCAAGGTAAATTTAATGCAGAGAGAGAAATGTTGTTGAATGATGGCTTGAGATCAAAGACAAGATAAAAGATGATGGAGATGGAAAGATGCCATCAGAATATCATGGCAATCGATCAATCTAATCGAGTTTCCGTTGCCGAGAAATGTGACGTCTTGTGGTTCAGGCACTGCTAAGCCACTGTGGCGCAGCACTGAAGCTTGGACATCTTGAGGTGGCAATCAAACGACAACCGAAGACAAGCGCCGTGGTATTGCTGGTCCAGGACTATATCACAGCCGCCAATATGCCAATAGCATTGAAAATGCCGCGGCTAATTTCATCTCTTCCTTACAGCAGGCTGGCCACTTCCACCCTCTCTCGCGCTGGTGCTAGCTTCTCTAGCGACCTCAATTGGGCTAGGACTTGTTCCTGCCATCCACCCTGCAAGATCAAAACTGGGGCCAGCAGCCTTTTTCGACCCGCTTCCGGGAAGTACGCCTTTAGCACGTTGTTTCTCGAATTCTTCACGCGTTTCGGGGTCCACTAAAACGTAAGGAAAGATTGGATGGTCAGCGCTGTCAAGTTCTCGGATGCCCACGGTATAAGCTGTCAGCGCATCAATAACACAAGAGACATACTGTTCTCAAGAAGATAAGGCATCCCAACCGTAACCCCGAGTGCGAAGACAGCCAGGAGAATCATCGGATTTTTGAACAAGCTGAGCGGCGAGACTATCCATAACCAGCCATATTAGCAACCGTTGTTTTCTCCGTTCAAGACATTCTCAAGGGCGATGATGACTTACATCCTGCTCTTTGCTCGTAGAACTCCCGCTTTCCCAACACTTTGGCGTCCACATGGACTGGCCCTGAGCCCGTTCCTACCGCTTTCTCCACCCCTTTGTTATCCCATGGGTTTCCGCGAAAAGTCTCCCACACCCCAATCACGTTCCCATCGGCCCCAACATCGACGCGGTAAGGTGCGAATACATAGTCTCGCGAATGGATATCTAACAGATATGAGGTTGGGCTTCGCGATGATGAAGCGGAATCTGAACCGGATCCAAGATCGGGGAAAATGAAGGTTGAAGAGCGTGTTAACGGCGCTTTTAATAGAGCTCGTTTGGGAGTGAGAGTAGTTAGAGTCGCGTGGGTCGAAGGCGGGAGCGTGTTGGGATTCGGAAGGAGGTTGGAAGCTGGAATGCTGATGGTGAGAATGGTTGCAGCTGAGAGTGAAAGTAATGAAAGGAATGCAAGAGCAAGGGGGTAGAGGGATGAAGCATGCATGATTGCCAACAGCTAAAGGAAATGTGCCCTATTCCTAGAGTCTACTCCTCCGTTATTGACCCTTTGCCTTGTAGAGTTAATATTCAGGATGAAGAAATGTTGGCTGCTTACGTAACTAACCACTCAATCTCAATCTTCCATCTCCAGACTGCTCTTGCTAGAGAGAATACAGTATCTAATAAATCATCTTAGGATGTTGTACTGTTAACAAGAGCATTTTATTGAGCTGCTTCAGCAAATTTGCTTCTAATGTATCGCGGCGATAAGCCTACTCTATCAACCAAAACCTATGGGCCGGGGCCCCAATGTGTGAATCGAATACTCCCGAATAAACTTCAGAATACTCCGAAGCCAAGGCTGAATATTCGAATAGTATTCGATTCTGACTATTCCGAATATATTCGAGAATACGAATATTCGGTGCACACACCATAAACTCCATCAGCTACGTTCTCACTCTCCCTAGAACTCCACGCAAGAACCCCTCCACTCTTACATATAGCCATCTCACTGGCCACAATTGGCACGTATCCGGCCCAATTGACATTCTGACATGTGTTCCATGCCGCCCATCCAGAAAAACGATAGTTAAGAGGTATCAAGTCAGTGCATGTTCTATTCTTACAATACATAGAGAGCAGCATGTGTTTGCAGATGCTTGCCGAAAAAAAAGCATATATAGGAATATGTACATAAGCTAAAATGATAGAACGACAACCAAGGGGGTAGAGAGAAGTTTACAACTTAGACCGAAGAACATCGTTTTCGTTGACACCGTTGCTAGGGACAGTAGCGTAGAGCTCATCCAGGATATCCCGATACGCTTTAACGGTCTGAGGTCTTTTGAGTTTTAGTCTGAAGACGTATGTTAGCATCACTGAACAATGTTTACAACACAGGTAAGGGTACGAACGTGGGAGTCAAGAGGCCATTGTCAATTGAAAATGGCTCAACCATCAACGCGATATTCTTCACTCTTTCGAATCCTGCGAGTTTATATTTTTGACCCGCGCGATCGAGATCTTTTTGTACTGCATCAACAACCTTTTGATCTTTTGCAGCCTCGCGAAGAGCATCCAGTTCCGTCGGAGAGAAGGTCTTATTGAGGACTTTGCCAGCAAAAGTAGCGAAAATGTCTGGTTGGACGCCGATGATACCAACCAGATGGGTCTGAATACTGTCGCCGTGGGCGAAGGCTTGGGCTATATACGGGTACGCGTTTTGATAGATACCTTCAATCCGCTCAGGAGACACATATTCTCCTTGAGCGAGTTTCAAAAGGTTCTTGCGGCGGTCGATGATGGTAAAACGGCCAAGCTCATCTACCATGCACACATCACCGGTTCGGAACCATCCGTCTTCCGTCATCGCCTTTGCGGTTTCCTCAGGATTCTTGTAGTATTCCCTGAAAATAGAGTTGCCACGGAGCAGTAGTTCGCCTCGTGGGTATGGCTTGTCGTCAACAGAATAATCCATGTCAGGCAGTGACACCAAGCATGCTTCCACTGCAGGGGTGATCCCTCCACAATGACCTGCGGTCAAATCGTGACCTGGCTGGCACAAAGCCACTGCGAAACTTTCTGTCAACCCATAGCCTTGAACAATGGTTGTAGCAAATGCCAAGCGTAAAAATTGGTGAAGAGATTTATCGAGAGGCGCAGAGCCTGATACCATGTATCTCATCCGGTCAAAACCAAGTCCGGCTGCGACTTTCTTGCTCCAGATACGGTCGTATAGGAAGTGATTCACAGTGGCATTTTCTGGTTTCGCATGCACCAAATTCGCCGTTTTCGTAGCAACAACATGCCTTGACAAGGCGCCTTTGAATCCGGGCTGTTCAACGGTAGCTGCACGAATAGCACCACCGAAACGGCTATATAAACGTGGAACGGATGCAAGAACTGTCGGTCTCAATAACTTAAAGTCGTCGACAAGCTCCAGAATGTTGCCGTGGAAGTAGCCGATCCTACCACCAGCCCAGAGTAATGTTTGCTCAATCATCCTCCCGTAGATGTGAGCCAGGGGAAGATATGAGCAGGAAACATCCGTGGAGGACTGAGTAATTGTTGCCAATGAAGAGGCTGCGGCGGAAACAGCATTTCCATGGGTCAGGACAACGCCTTTCGGCATACCTGTGGTGCCGGAGGTGTAGTTTATTGTGATGATATCATCAGGCTTGGGTGGGTTGTATGGGCGGTTGAGTGAAGCGCCGAGCTTTTCAACTTCGGCTAGAGTATAGATGGACACGCCCACATCAGCGGCAATAGGCGCGAGGATGTCGCGCTTGGAATAGCCTGCTTGGTCGCTCGAATCCAAAGGATCGAGGCAAACGATTATCTTCAAGCACGGAAGCTGAGGTTTCAGCTTAAGCAACGTGGGAAGGTGCGGAAGCGAAGCGGCAACACACGCTAATTCGGCATTCTTTACAATGAATTCAGTAGCCTCAGGGCCTAAGGTCTCATAAAGAGAGACGGAGAACAGTGACTGTGACATGCAAGCCAAGTCTGCTCAAGTCAGAGAAAAGCTCCCATCAACTGGATGGTAGTGGATACTCACCAGTCAGCTGCCATTCAGGCCTATTTTGACACCAAAGTCCAACACCAAATGTCCGGTCCTGGATTCCAAGCTGACGGTGCAATTCAACCAGGCCGACACCAATCGCTGCACGTCGCGCCCGGACCGTTCCGTAATCCATCCAAACATAAGGGCCAAAGTTTTGTTTAGCAGCATCCCATGGGCGCCAACCTAAACATTGGTTCTTAGGCTGACGGAGGGCTGGAAATAAAAGTTAACCCAATCCGGCATTTTGGTTTAGACATTGGATCCAAGCATACCGGTTGTTTCAAACATATCATGGGCAGTACGGACCTAGAAATAAGGCTCAGTCAGTCCTTCATTCAGACAAAGAGCAATGCGCCCCGACTGTGCTTCGCGCAGACGCCGGTCTATGAAAGCGAAGGCTTCCTATCCTGGCGTACCTGAGGGTCCAAAGTCTTCATCAACTCTCCATTTCCAATCTTCCAGTGTCTATATACCGCTGTGCGACCTGGTTGCTCAGATCCTGGAATGGAAACGGAGATGGGAGTGCCCTTGGGTGCCGGTTTGGCGAACTCGGTGGCCATGGCCTTAAAAGGGGGCTCGGAAGAGAACATGGCTGGTTATATGTAATTCTGGTTTCTGTCGACCGCCCTGGATATTGATAAGAAAATAGGTCAGTACAGAACATAACACAATGGGTTGCAAGAATATCGTATGCGGTATAGACCCATTGCGCGACACGTCGAAGCTACGTACCTCTTACCAATGCTGAATGATGCCAAAAGCTGAATGCTTTTATAAGCCACGGTCTTCCGCTTCTAATAGGCAAAAAAATCTCACCGAGCGGGCAAAGGTAGTTTAGGGAAAACCCTCAGAAAGGATCGCAAATCGAATGCTAGGGCAGTTCCGTTGAATAGAGCAATGTTTTTTTGAAAAGGATGGATCCGACAAGACTGCGGAGACTTGTTTCTCACAGGACCAGCGAGAGTTAGACGCCGTACTATATTTGCAGAGCGGGCAAAGGAGGGCTTGAGGGGGTGGAACACGGGGAAGAAGAAGAAGAAGAAGAAAATACGGTTGGCCGCGACATGTGGTTGAACGACTTTCGTCGGTGCTCGGTTCAGCTGCAGTTGCATCTTTATCGGGGTCCCCGATCCGGACTAACCAGATACAGCATAGTGGCTGAGTGAGCACCCGTAGCTTGGTTCAAACTCGACATGCCATTCCGTATCCTCACGGCAGAAAATGTGCTGCAGGTACTTCGACTGGAGGAGTGCAAAATGCAACGAGGCATGTGATACCGCACTAAAATGCAAAGTACTAGCACTCTAGCCCACTGACTAAGCACATCTGGACCGCGCGCACCAATGACCTCATGCGGCTTGAGCCTCGGTTCATCCGATTCGAGCTTTTGAGACGGAAAACCACCGGGATGGAGTCCTATCAGTCCCTTTTCATCCGCGATGGAGAAAGTCATCCTCGGTATAGATATCCGTTGCGAGTACACCTGGCGACATGCACAGAATCGAACGCTCAACTGAGTTGCGACAGGGATGCTGTCGACGGCAAGATGCATCGACACGAAAGCGGTTAACTTGTCAACCTGCCACGCGAGCAATTTTTATATTCTTCCAATCAAACCTGCCCTTGGGGGGCCCAGCAGCTGCGCATCCTTTCCGTCTCTGCAGGGAATCTGGCACCAAGACACGGAGCTTTCGAGCCTGCAAGCAGCCTAGTGTTGGATCTTTAAAGCGCAAATGCAACCCATAAAAATTATTGCGTACGGAGTACTGTGACAGCTTATTCGACGGATACCGGTTTTGACCTTCCGCTTTGCGGCTTTCATAGCAATTCGCTTTAGGGACAAAATATATATCTGGAAGGTAGTGACTTGCAAGTCTAAACTTACAAGCATCAGACTCTGGATATTCGAGAATAGAGTGTTAAATGAAAATATGCTCCCATAAACGCCAACGCCCCGTCGCTTCTTCATGGCCACATTCTCATGACACGTAGAGTATGTGGCTATTAGACTCCCACATAGAGCGGATATCAGACGTTTTTAGAAACCAACCTGACTTTCCCTTTTCATGTCCAAAAAACCAATATCTTAAACAGAATTCTCCAAACCTGGCTCACGATCAGCCACGACCCCCTGATCGACAGTGGTACGATCTGGGAGAGCTTTCTTATCTGGACCGGCGGCGCTGCTAACGGCGAATGACTGTTCAAAATCGGCGATAATGTCGTCAATATGTTCAGTACCGACTGAGAGACGTATCGCGTCCTCCGTCACGCCAGAGGCTAGTTTTTCATCATCACTCAGCTGTTCGTGGGTTGTTGACCATGGGTGAACCGCAAGAGTCTTGGAGTCGCCGACACTAGATGAAAACTTCCGTTAGTACCTTCGCGTCTGTTTAGCTTATAGAAGACGGAAGCTCACTTGGCAAGGTTGGAGATCAACTTGAAATTATCGACAACCTGACTACCTGCAGCTGCACCACCTTTGACTCCGAATGATAACATACCACCGAAACCACGCTTAAGGTATTGCTTGGCGGTTTCATGGCTTGGATGGCTCTTCAAGCCAGGGTATGAGACCCAAGCAACGTTCTCGTTCTTTTCTAGCCAGTGAGCCAGGGTGAGCGCATTGCTAGCGTGACGTTCAGCTCTCAAGCTCAATGTTTCCAGACCAAGAATAATCTGTTGAGCACCGAAGGGGTTCAATGCAGCGCCCAGATCTCTCAGAATCTCGACACGCACGCGAATAGCAAAGGTGATGGGGCCAAAAGTATCCCAGAACTTCAAGCCATGGTACCCTTCGGCCGGCTCGACGAATTGGGGAAATCTCTTTCCGTGCTTGCCCCAGTCGAACTTGCCGCTATCGACGATCACGCCCGCAATGGTGGTTCCGTGGCCACCAATCCACTTGGTGGCACTGTGAACGACGATGTCCGCACCGTGCTTGATGGGCTGGCAGAAATAACCGCCGGCGCCAAAAGTGTTGTCAACCTACCCACATCGTTAATCCTTCACTTGGATCGAAAGGCCCCTTTATCTGGAATGGTGCATACGTACAATCAAAGGTACACCCTTCTCGTGGGCAACCTTGGCAATAGCTTCGAGGTCCGGAACATTGTAGCGCGGATTACCGATAGTCTCAATATAAACCGCCTTTGTACGATCATCAATCGCGGCTTCAATATCGGCTGGCTTGTCGCCCTGCACGAATTTGGTCTGGATGCCCAAGCGGGGGAACATAACCTTGAACTGATTGTAAGTGCCACCGTAGAGATTGGTAGTCGAAACGATATTGTCTCCCTGGTGAGCTAGAGCGGCAATGGCCATGAATTGGGCTGCCTGTCCGGATGAAGCTGCGACGGCTGCAACACCCCCTTCGAGAGCCGCAATACGCTTTTCAAAGACATCGACAGTTGGCTAGGTGGAATGAACGGCCTGGTTAGCTTGTGCTCAGGTAGCCATCAGAGGGACTCAATTGAGAACCCAGGGATAGACATACGTTCATGATACGGCTGTAGATATTGCCGAACTCTTTGAGGCCGAACAGCCTGGCGGCATGAGCCGAATCATTGAAGACAAAGGACTAAAAATGGTCAATTGTCAGAACACTCGCGCCAATCAGTCCTTGAGTTCCTTCATCGATGTTCAAATTGGGTTGATCCAAGTGAAGAGACTCACAGTTGTGGCATAGATTGGAACTGCTCTGGCATTGGTCGTGGGGTCAGGTTCCTGGCTAGTTATCGAACGCCCAGTTAGCAGGGTCTACATGCACGAAGACTAGGATGATGCGGACTTACCCAGCGTGCAATTGAAGGGTCTCGAATCTAGGCGCAGACATTTTGGAGATTTTGCGATGAGTGAGATACTGGGTTTATTCGAATGAGGGCTCTGAGTGTGTTTGCGCTGGCGGAAGTGGAATTGGCGGGGTATGCGTTCAATGGAGGGGTTGGCCACCGACAGGGCTGCAATGCGACAAGAGACGAAGCGGGATGAGATAGAGTGGCAGTGCCGATCGCAAGCAAAGAGAGGGAGCGCACGACTTATTTATGTGCCATTCGACTCTTGCTGAAGCCCGATTACCGGGGAGAAATTGCGGGTGAGTGAGCCATCGGCGTGATGGCGTGATCGAAGCTAATTTTGACTGTGAGCGCCTTCAAGCCCAACAGAACAATTGCGCTCTTTTTCCAACGGAATTCATTAGTTATTGCAAATCTGGAGACAGCTTTAACAACGTTCAACATTGCTGGGACTCGATGTGTGAGAGCTGGTGCATATGCGATGGGAGATTCTTCTAGCGGCTCCTTGAATCGCTACTTGCAAGCAGCTGCCTTGCACCGATGCGACCAACATGGGAAGAATGGCATTCATTATTGCAGAGATCTCGAAGTGCCAGGACCGGCTATGGCTGTGAGGGTGCGATGAATTCAGTCCTTGGATACGGCTTTTGCGTCTAGCTACTGCCTCAGCACACTGATAGTTTTCAGCGAAACATATTTCCCAGTGCATGATGCAGTTCTCACGGGATTCTTGGGAGTGCTCCATGATAAAAAAAGGTCAAAGTCAAGGCTTGCGTATTTCGGCTGCCTGTCAACAGCAGCCTGAGCAGGTCATGGGAAATAAAAAAAAACCCAGATAAACAGAAAACAGAGCAAGTATATGCTCAAACAAGTCGTAGGGCTTCAACAGACGCCAGTAACATTTGGTTTGCATTCCTGGACATTGTCGCTGGGATACAAGTCGCGACATGTACTATCTCATTTGAAGCCCTTGCTATTATATCCACGACGCACCGCGACGCACACTGCGAAAAGTGCCCCAGATTTGTATAGGATTGATCGGAAGATTTTATCCATGAGCAAATCCTTTTGCTCGTCCTTAGAGTGCCACTCTACGGTTGGAGTTGATAGAGTGTCGGTCCCTGTTGATGACCTTCCAAACGCTCAATATTAATTTCCGCTTTTTGACGAACTCTGCGAGGCCAGCTCGAGATGAATCCCTCCGATTTCAGATCCTGGCACATTTTCAGAGCTTGGATCTGGAATACGAGAGTGGGGGCCGAGCTTTTAGCTTGATGGGAGTTTTGCTTCTGCCATTATTCAGCGATCGTCAATGGCACGGATCCTGACGCTCAAATAATCGTCGAGGTTGTGCTCCAATTCGCAATCTTGAGAAGAGGTTCATCCTGGGAGTGGTTGTCGACGCAAGTCTGGATTCGCCCATTCAAAGATTCCGTTCACGCCCTTGGAAAAGAGCCGCAGAACACACGGATTGCAGCCTTTTCTCCCTCTTCAGCTGGACAGGCTGCCGTCACACCAATGAGAGCGAGCGAGCAACCGAGAACCCTCCACCAAGCGGAAGGGATTCTAAACTTAGCTCTCGTGTGCTCACCGAACTTTCTGGCAGGCTGTTTCAACCTTCGAAAATCATCATTTTGCAGGCCGATTGTGAGTCGTGAGCAATCCTTGCAGATGCTAGGCACTCGACGCGGCTCCATGGACCAAAACGAACCCGTCAAGTCGGCAGGTCGGGAGCTGGTGCCGGGGAAAAAGACATCTGGCGGCAAGGCAATGCGTGTCTGGTGCTCTGCCGTTGAAAGGGAATATTATCATCATCCAGCGCATGAGGTCTGGAGCACCGTCACTAGGTAACCCGCGACGTCATGTTGGGTTCTTGAGGCGGTGGCTTGACCTTGAGTGGCTGTGGTGTGTGATGTATTGTCACCCACGTGTGCCCGCCGGAAAGTTTGGCGTATTGACCACAGGCCAATTTACCAGTTGCGGGGAGCTTTGACTCGACGACGGGTTTGATTGGTTAATTTGCTGTCAATGCAGAATTACAGCGGTAATCAGAAGAAGACCGGTTTGTTATGTATGGTAAGCCAGGTACATCCGTGAGCCGCGAAAATCCAAAAGTTGAGTTGCTGCTCCTGAAGAAGCGTCAAGATGAAGAGTCTCGATGAGCGTCCAAATGCGCTGTGGGCCGTTGGATGGCAATGTCCACGGTATTCCTTTTCGTCAAGTGGGAAGTTGGATGTGATGTCGTGCCGTCCAGCTTGATGACAGCTCCGTATCAGAGCATCCACGTCATTAGTCGCCTGTGCCTGGCATGGCTCGTTATCGTCTCTCTTCGGACTCCCAAGAAGCTTTTCTAGATTAATACTGCTTTTTGTCAAGTGACCTAGACCGGTTTAAAAACGCCTAGCTATTAATTAAAAAAAAGAATTTTCCGTCAGTATATAAGGCCGCCGTTGGCCCGCGTGGTCGACGTTGTGCCAGCCTGGATCTATATCCCATTCACACCAACGGCAACACACCGGTTATCCTTGCCATCAACTATCCTACAGAGCGCATTAAAGGTGAGTCTAATAAACGATGAACCCCTCGAAGTCACATGCCGCTTTGGGCTTGCTTCGCTTTTCTTGCTTCTGCCCCTCTTCTGTTGTCCCTGTCTTTGCCTGTCTCTACGCATTCTTCTCTTGGGATGATCAAAGGCTGACCTCGACTACAAGGCCTCTACCAGACCTTCAAAGAATCGAAAACCATGGAGAACGGCCCTGTTTCACTCGGCCTGCGCGGTGTCCAGGCCGTGTTCGGCATCATCGTCCTCGGTCTCACAGCATATAGTGAGTGTAACCCAACTTACCCCGGGGAAGAGCCTCATCAACCAGAAAACTGACCAAGCGCCCTCTGCAAAACCACAGTCGCATCCGAGCTGAGCTTCTTCACTTCCGATATTATCAACTTCATGATCTTCAACGGCGTCTGGACCGCTTTCATCGTCGTTCCCTACATGATCCTCGCTCCCATGTTCTTCCCCATCGCCGCCCACCTCTATGCTATCATCGCCGTCGATGCCGTCACAATGATCTTTTGGTTTGCCGGCTTCATCGCTCTCGCTGCCAGAATTCCCACCAACAGCGATTGTAATGGTAATCCTATCTGCGGTTCTTACAAGGCTGCGACTGCGTTTGGCGCTTTCGAATGGTGAGCTTCACACATTTTTTCTTTCCCCCTTTCCCCGTCTGCTGCATCATCGGCAAAAACATCATGCATAATCCAGATATGCTAAACAACCACAAGGGCTTTGTTCGTCGCCACTCTCGTTCTCGTGGTTCTTCCCGTTGTTCGGAACCGTGGAGGCCCAAAGCCAAACGAGGGCGTGGCACCGGCTGTCTAATAACAAAAGGAAGCTCCATTCGAAGTCTGTTGGCAACTCAAATAGTTGCATGGCTGAAATTAAAACGTTTAATATATGATACCCTCTTCTCATCTAATTGCTGCAATTTCGGCACTCTTTTTTTGGTCGTGCTTTTTCTTTTGTATTGACCCTTATCTCATCGAGATTGCTTTATACCCCGAATTTCTTGAAGGAGCCCTGCAAAATTCTGCATAGTCGCATAATATTCCATGTTCCCTATCCTGCTATGGAGCATGAATACTTTTTAAGCTCAGTTTTCTGTTCACCCCGTTGGTCGCGTATCTTTTAACGCACATACTTATGCATGTCGCTCGATACCCGATATGCGATATGATGTCATAATCAAGATTTATGGACTTCAGTTGTGTGTACTTACAGTGCCTTAAATGAAAATAAATACATTTAGATCACTGTTTTACATGTATATACACTACAATATTATCAAAACCCAAGTGGTTCATCTGAAGAAGAGAAAAGGGAATCAACGGTCGCACTGAAAACATATCGCATAGAATGGACACTCAAGCGGTTTCCACCTATTACGTACATAAAACACAGAAGACTGAGAAAACGCTTGGGGTATGATTCCGATCAACTGACACGAAGAGATGGTGTGACTCTCGACTGACACTTGTATGTCACTCCAGGGGCTAATGGATGTTTCGTAAGTCGGAACTCGGGTTATTTTCTAACTTAAATTGTCTTGTACTATTCACGCGGCCGGCCAGAGCTACGATTTTGATGCCAAGAAATCAGCTGCCTTTTTGTAAGTCAGTATCATTGCTTCACCGACAATTGTGATCTGGTACGACAAACCTTGTCCAGATTATAATCAAACTTTTCCAAGGCAGCTAATGACTCGTCTCTTGGGTATCCCATCGAAGTCAACCGCTGCAATATAAGATCGTCTTCGCCTGAATCTGCATCTAAAGCCCACCCAGGCTGCTTGCTCTGAACTGGAGGACTAGCCGTTGCTGGTACGGGTATTTGAGAAGATTCCGTGGACGTGGGTGGCACTGTGGTCGAAGAGGTTATATCGGGCTTGTTTGCGCCACTTTGGCCCTTGGCTTCATCAAGGACGGAAAATAATGCATCCCAATCATGTGCAGAAGGCGCCTGTGGTGGAGATGAAGAATTTGGTGGATCCCCAGCTGTTGTTGGACGGGTGCCGGGGTTATCGAAGCTGAAGAAGTTTGGCTTTGTACTAGCATCACCAAAAGAGCCATTTGCGGCTTGGGCACTGGTGCTCGATTTTGATGGCGCACTAGGAGACTCGAATGTCATATCAAAATTGGACGGGTCCTTGTTGAATGGTGACTCAAAGTCATCCTCGTCGTCGTCGTCATCTTCGACCTCCTTAGCGGGTGTGAGGTTCAAGCCTGCAAAAGCTGCCTCGAAGTCCGCAGGTGGTTTAGGCGATGCTGCAGTAGTGGGTTTAGGTACACCACTTATAATCGGAGCACCGGTAGTCTCGTCGACAGAGTGAGGTGCGTCGCCCGGTGCGGTTGGATCCACTCTGCCCGGAAGGAGATCCCCGAATTCAGGGGGCGCAGTACCACTGGGTTGTTTTGATGCTTTATCGTAGCTTGGAGGAGATGGCTGAGCATCTGGACCAGGCAGTGGAGTGGGTTCGTTTGGAGGGAACGGTTGAATTTCTTTGCCAGTTCCTCTAGGTGGGGATACAGGCGTAAAATCATCATCAAACCCAGCTGGACTTTCGCTATCGGTGCTATCATCGTCGTCGTCAAGTTCTCTGATAGGCGGAAATTCGCTAGCGGCACCGTCAAGTTGTCCGCTATTAGCAGAACCCATTCTGGAATCTTTTTTCATTGCTGCAAACGCTTCTTCAAAGTCAAGAGCCTTTTGCGATTGAGAACGTTCATGGGTGCGACCAGCGAATAGCTCATCAAATGTGTAGTCCTTTTTGACTTGTTCATGCGGAGAAGCCAAAGATGCCGCGGTTGTCGCGGGAGGGGATTCATTTCGTGCTAAATTTTGATCATTGTTCCCATTTACATCTCCGGCGAAGGGGTCTCCATGTTCAAAGGGCGATGCTTCCTTGCTATCAGGCAGTTGAGACGTCGCCTCTGGTTGTGGATTGTCACCAAATCTACTAGCGGGTGGCGATGCTTGAGCTGACGAGGATTGCGATTCTTCATGCCCTTCAATAGGAAGTGCATTGGGTGTTATCTGCCTTGATCGAGGAGGAGGTGGTGGTTCCGCTGGGTCAGGAATGGGTTGAAAGGTCGTAGAAGAAGAAGTTGAGAGACTTGGGTCCCCCGATGAAGTTGATGGTTTCGTAGGGTTTGCAGTTTGTGGTTGGGGAGTAGAGGTTTCTGTTCTGAATGTGGTCGGAGGTGGTGGAGTGGTTGTCGAAGGGCTGGTGAATGCCGGACCAAACATATTATCAAAGATATTTTGAGGATTATTTTGCCCTTCATTACCTGTATGGGATGGAGACAACGCCTTTTCTGTTGATGCACTGGGGCTTCGTTTGAAAAACGGATTTGTTCCCTGGCTAGCGGCTGATGTGGCAGGGCTGGTAATAGGCGGCGGGCTGGTAGACTGCCTCTCAGCTTCGCCTAGGCCCTTTCCGGTGTCATCAATCTCTTCTTGAATTCGGTCTCGTTCTCCTTCAATAGTGGAGAGTTGCTTTTTATTGATTGCCGCTAGCCCTTTCTGTTGGCGGGCTTCGGATCTAATCTTCTCAAGCTGAGATTTGAGCTGGCTAACTTGAGCATTCGCATGCCGTATCTTTTCTTTCAAACTGGCGTTCTCGCGTTGGTCTGCTTCTAGCGCCGCCGATACCTGGTTAAACTGATTTTGTAGATCCTGTCGGCTGCCGTCAATCATGGCGAAATCTTGTTGTAGCTTTCTGGTCTCGGTTCTTGAAGCTGTTAGTCGCTCTTCGAGCGCTTTAAAATCTTTAACCTCTTGTTCATACATTGCCCTGGCTTGCGAAAGCCTGGTCTCAAAATCTCGTTTTTGTTGGTTCGATTGCGCTAAATCTTGCTCTGCATTCCCACGCTTGGCTTGGACGTTCTCCATTTCCTTTGATAAAGTACTGACCTGGTTAGAGAGGTTGGCAAGCTCTGTTGTCTCTTGCGTAAGCTTCTTGCTCTCTTCAGGGTCAGCATCTCCAAGCAAATCATCTGAAGGCTGGGCTGGTGACCGCGGCTGGACGGCTGTGTTTGATAGCCCGGTAGTATGAGGAGTGAGACTCTGGCCGAACGAGGATGAAGGGATAAAGGGCTTGAATGTACTAGACGGAGGGGGCCGTGTAGGAGAGGAAGGGCTTTGAAAAGGAGGGTTCGATCCTCCAGTTGATTGCGACGTTTGAATCGGCGCAGTGAACACGTCAAGTCCAAATAGGTCCTCGGCGGCTGATCGCGAACCAGTCGTCTGGGAGGGTATGGGGCGTGGGGGTGGAGCAGATTGCCGTCGCATGCTTGGAGGGATCAATGCAGGTAAAAGGACCTGAGGTAGAGGTTCCCTTGTCGTCCGTTGCTGTCTCACCAGGTACATTGCTACTGCGAATTCATCTTTGCTCAGTTGCCCATCAGAGTCAATATCTGCTAGATCCCAAATCTGCGCTAAAGTTTCTTCCGGTAGCTGTGCGTTCGCGAAGAACCCCACGGCATCATCACCACTCAGATAACCAACTCTCCTTTTATCTATCGTGTTGAAAATTGAGTCAAAATGTCCCTTTTCTTGGGGTGTGATAAGCCATTCGGTTCCGGTGCCATGAGTGGATACAGGGCCCATATGTGATCGGTTTAACGGGCTCTGTGTTCTCTGAGGAGTAGGACCAGAGAACTGCTTTGGTATCGCCGGAACGGGTGGAACATCTGAGGAAGAACGGGAACCGATTGATGCGCGTACATTCCCTCGTCGGCTAGCCGCATCATACAGTCCCGGAGGAAGTGATGGTGGGACTGCGCGCATCGTACCCATTTTGAACGCTGTGAGAAGATGCATAGCAATAGTAAATTCGGTAATATCCAGAGCACCGCGCTGTTTGGTATCAGCCAAATTCCAAATGCGTCCAAGTATCTCATTCGGGAGCCGCGCGCGCTCAAATATTTGTTTCGCGGTATCACCTAACCAAAACCTGTCAGAGGGCTAATTCTAGAAGTGTTATACTTCAAGGCTCATACCTGCGATGAGGCCGTTTTGCGTCTCGGATCTTTCAAAAAGGGCAGTAAACTTTCCAATATCATCCTGATTCAATGGTGGAACCCGTGCTGACCCAGGCCCGGGCGGAGGGCTTGTGGTTGATGGGGGCGGTGCAGTTGGTGGGACGGCTAGAGGTGGTTCTGGGGTGATGCCTATAAATTTAGGCAAAGGGCCAGCTGTCGGGTAAAGGACATGTTAGTAGGTAACTTGCAACTAATAAATAACATCCTTACGCTGATATGCCAGTTCCTCCGTCGGGGAACGACCGGCTTGAGCATGACCGATCAGTCGCATAACAATACCGAATCCGGACGGAGTTAAAAGACCGCGATTCTGTTTATCCGCAATTTGCCATATCTGTAGTTGGTTAGAAGCCAATTCCCAAGTCATTGTTCGATCCAATTTCACGCGCTGCGACCCGTGGTAAAAGGGGTGTGTCCCTTACCAAACCCAAAGTTTCTGCGGGTAAATTGGTTTTCTCGAAAAACGAAACTGCGACTTCGCCTGGGACAACTCCGAGATTTGTTTTATCTGCCATTTGGAAAAGCTGGTAGAATACCCGCTTCTCCTCCGCAGTCAAGTTCAGGTTTGGGTGTGATGCTACAGTTGGACATCATCTGTCAGTCCTTGGTACACGCATAGGCGGCTGGATAAAAGCGAATAAGAGACTTACTGTCTGCCATGTCTCCGAGTCCCCTCCAGGGGCGCCAGTCTCGTCAAATCTCACGTTCTCGACAGCCAGGAGGAATCAACTGGGCGGAGGTGTTCGACGTGGCCGCAAGGCGTCAAGCAGGATGGTTGAAATGGACTCTTTAAGGAGTGGAGAATACAGCACACGTGTGATGCTGTAAAAGCGCAGTTATGCAATCTCTAGTTGTATATAGCCTGTGGTGACGGTCTACCTCAGGTCAAAGGACGTCCAAGCATCGCTGGAGCGGCTGGTGTTCGCTATTCGTAATGAGGTTCTAAAGGGGAGAGCAAGCTCAACTGTGGCTGCGTCCAATCACATCGCAGATCTGGCAAACAAGCCAATTGAATCGTGGCTTGAGGCACTCAGTATTATATAATCAATACGACGTCATGGAAAAGCAGTTTGATAGCAAATGGGATGATGGATTTGCTACTCTACAGAAAGCAATTTGCAGCTAAACCCCAAATCAGTTTGTCAAATTAAAGGTAAGTAAGATATGCTCATGGACGCATTACAGGTATTGGACAAAGTAACCCAATCGAGCTGGGATATACTCAAGTGGAGCCGCTGCGAATTTAGTATTCTTCTTCGGGCACATCCTCCGCAGAATCCCTTGCAACTTCCTCATAGTCACGCTCAAGGGCGGCGAGATCTTCACGGGCCTCAGAGAATTCACCTTCCTCCATACCTTCGCCCACATACCAGTGAACAAAGGCACGCTTGGCAAACATAAGGTCGAATTTATGGGACAACGCAGACCATGCTTCGCCAATGGCAGTCGTGTTCGCCAGCATACAACTGGGGATCGCGTTAGTAGAGTATCAGTTTGGCCAGGAATTTGGGCAGTCAACTTACACCGCACGGTCAACCTTTGCAAGATCTCCATTGGGAACCATCTTTGGCGGCTGATAGCAGATACCAATTTTGAAGCCGGTGGGACACCAATCGACAAATTGGATAGTGCGCTTGGTCTTCAAGGCGGCCACGGAAGCGTGCACGTCTTTCGGAACTACGTCGCCACGATAGAGCAAGCAAGTAGCCATATACTTACCGTTACGAGGGTCGCACTTGACCATTTGGCTGTGAGGCTCAAAGCAGGCCATGGTGATTTCATTAACGGAGTTAGCTTCATGAGCTGCTTTGGCCGCAGACACGACAGGCGCGTATGAAACCAAGGGAAAGTGGATACGAGGATAAGGCACGAGATTGGTTTGGAATTCGGCCAGGTCGACGTTCAAAGAACCGTCAAAGCGTAGAGATGCGGTAACCGACGAAACCACTAAATTCAATCTGTATTGGTAAAGCCAGTCTGCAAGCCACAGCCTTTCGGACGGGTATCATTTGTTTCACGCACCTTGTGCAATTAAGCGATTCAGGTTCTCATAGCTGGGTCGTTCGATGCCTAAATTTTTGCGGCAGACATCGTAAATAGCCTCGTTATCAACCATAAAACTGCAGTCGGAGTTTTCCAGGGTGGTGTGAGTGGTGAGAATAGAGTTGTATGGCTCGACGACAGAGGTCGCATTCTGGGGAGCAGGATAAACGCAGAATTCAAGTTTGGTTTTTTTCGCGAAGTCAACGGCCAATCTCTCCATTAAGAGGGCACCGAAGCCGGATCCAGTACCACCACCGAATGAATGGAAAACCAGGAAGCCTTGTAAGCCACCGCAGTTATCAGCAACGCGTCGCACTCTGTCCATAACTTTGTCGATCATCTCCTTGCCAACGGTATAATGGGCCACGAGCATAGTTGTTCGAGGCATCTTCCTTTCCAGTGATCATCTGCTCCGGGTGGAACAGGTTGCGGTATGTTCCAGTGCGCACTTCGTCGACGACGTTCGGTTCAAGGTCACAGTAGATTGTTCGTGGAACGTATTTACCCTGTCCTGAAGAGTGCTTTAGCGAGATGTATGGTAGATTCGGGCAAGAATGCGCACCTGTCTCAGAGAAGAAAGTTTCAAAACCCTGGTCCTGCTCAGCGGCTTTCTGTTCTTCACTCAATCGTCCATCTGGCTATAGGAGAACCACGTTAGCAAGAAGCCAAAGCGAAAGTAAATGTATCGCATGTGTACCTGGATTCCATGTTCAAGGCAGTAAAGCTATATTCGCAAATGGCCAAGGGTTAGTACTATTTCCAGATGACTTGAAAGCGATCAGTAAGACACATACCTCCCAGCAAGAATTTGCCATTTGGCAGCCAGCCTGGCCAACTATACACCAACATCCTCATCAGCAACCCATCTTCACGCTCCATAGACAGTCAGCTGTTATAGAGAAAGTGCAGTTGAGGACATACCGTTCAAACTGATCACCTCTCTCATGATGGGCAAGGTATAAGTTCAAATTCTCAGTCTAGCGAAATACAACGAGCCACACAAGAAAGGATGTTAGAAAAAAGAAGAGTAGCTGGGTTGTGACGCAGACTTGTGTTCAACAGACAGGTAACTAAGGCGGATTGAGGTCAGAGAAATATTTCGGCCCAACCAAAACCACCCTGAGCTAGGTCACACTTTGTCTCCACCAAGGGGCTAATAGGAGTTAGCAGCGGAAACCAGCGTCTCCTCTGTAGACAGGGATTGCAATTGTTAAAATAATAGCAACAATGCCTCTGGATGAGTGCTCAGTTTTTGGCTGATTGATATGCACACTGAGAGGAGATGAAGTTGTGTAACTACAGTATTTGAACGCATTGTTGACTGTGGTAACGAACTGTTTGTTTTCTAACTTCTGTGGCCAATCACGCTCTAAAAGTCGAAACTTTGGTTCGTGATGTTGACGTTTGGTAATTACATCGTACCGTGTACTGTAACGAACTCCTGTTCAATACGCACGATAAAACAGCTTCCTTCTGGTTGTTCCGCGGATTGCCAAAATAGGAATTCATCGCAGATTCAATCATGGACGCTACAGATACATGAGGCCATTATCAACCCTTGATTGATCGACTTCATGACTAGTCCTTGAACTAAAGGTAGTCCGGTATGATCTACTACATCCCTGCGGTGACTCTGACACTCCAAATGAGAATAACTTCTTGATTGAATAAACTCCTTTATATCTTCCCGGCAACCAACAGCTAACTTATTTCTTAGAATTTGGCGGGTTTTGAGGCCGAAAGAGGGCTTATCAGATTAGTCCGCTCTGAGAATTTCGGACAGTCCGTCGTATAAAGGCCACTATCTTCGAGTGGGAAATTAAAGAGTTTCCAAGGCAGGAGGCTACTATCCAGCCCAGGATCTCTGACAATGCTGCCTTTTGTTATCCTTTGGTCTCTACTTGTACGGCTGGTGCTGTCCAATGTGGAAAAAGCAATTTTCGTCGCGCCTCCTATAGACGCTGCTCAATTCCCAGCAGCGTCACTTCGGCTTGAGAATCTCTCAAATTTGGGCACATTGTCCCCGTCTACCCCATCAATTAGACAACATCTAAATGCCTCCTTTCCATCCGAAACCAATCCCTTAGGAGTGAAATCCTGGTTCCGCCTCGCTAACCTATCCCCCGGCCAACGATATGAGGTTCGGATATGCTGGCTCGCGACTGTAGGTGACCAGCTCTCTATTCAATCTCGAGATCAAGAATCTTAACGCATTCACTAGCAACCGACCTCTTTCGATCTCAATCTTTTCACGGCGTCGGATATTCTCGATTCATCATCCTTATTGTCGTCTTTCACAACCTTTTGCGAACGCCATCAGCTTGCCAACCAACGTTTACCCCCATTGCCAAATAAGTCGCCTAATGCCATAACTCTCTTTCTTGCCGTTGACGCTGCAGCAGATTACTTCACTCTCAACCAGACCCTGATGGAAAGTGTTCCACCGGTCGCAGTGGATATTATCCTTGACGCGTATCTCATGAACATTTTCCCTCGCTCGTTGATTCCCACTGCTGTCTACGTCGCCTGCGTGGTAGTTGTTGCCTGGCGGGCTTGCCGTTTTGTCCAGTCTCTTGTTAATGGGATAATTTCGAGTGGTTCGATAACGGAAATAAGCGCGGAACAGAAGTCAAAATAAAAAGCCTTTAAATGATCCTGCATAGACGCCTCCGGATATATGTTATTGTGATTATGTTGTGTACCATTTGATGCGCATGTATATTTAACCAGATATATGGCAAGGCACCGATGTATACAAGGAACAGGATTCTGAGTTATCATTGTGTTAGAACTATATTTCATATTGAACGCAAATGCCCATTTGCATATCCCAAATAAATGCTATCCAGTTTTTTGAATGCTCCGGTTTTCCAAACCAGGATGCGCCAATTCTGCACCATAAACAAGCCAAAAAGAGAAAAATGGTACAAATACACCATATTAATGGAAGGCTAGGAGCCAACTTAGAAGTCTCTCAGCACGGCGACCAACTCGTCTAACCTTGCAACTTCGCCTAGCAAAATCGCCTCTGTGTTCTTCCAGTCCTTGAGAGTCTGTAGCTCTGCTGTAGATAGGTAGCGCTCTTCATTTCCCTTAACATCAGTGCGCTCTGTTTTTTCGAGGAGGTATTTCAACTTTTCCCGTTCAACGCGTATTCGCTGTAGGCACCGACTCATACTCTTGTACGTATCCTCGATAACCATTAGTCGGACTCGATCTGCATCGTAAAACCATAGATATATAGTTCGAGACGGCTGACGTTGCGCGTCACGTGGCACTTCCTGTAGCTCAACAAAACCGGAACTTGCCATCTGCCCCAGAATTTGCCGCAAATCTTTGGATGCCATCAAACTAATTTCTTGTAGACGTTTCTCATCCAGCTTTCCTTTAGCGGCTAACACTCTGACAATTCGAACCGCAAAACTGCCGAATCTGGCTTCGACCAGTCGTTCGAGCTCCAAATGCCGTAACTTTCTAGCAAGGTGTCGATATTCTACGGCCCATGTTATCATTCCCGCTTGCATCCGCCGTGTGCAGAAGAAGTTCGGTTCTGCAGCAAGAAAGGACAGGTGTTGATCAACTAAGTAGTTGCGGCTGGGGCCGCGCCGCTTCGGAGCAGAACCGTTCTCCTCATCTCCATTAATTTCTTCATCTTCGCCCGCAAATTCATTGGTTTTATCAGGCATAAGTCCGGAACCTACTCCCGCAAGGTCCACGCCATGGCCAAGATCCTTGGAAATCGTGTCTAAATGAACGGGGACTGAATATTGCTCGGCTTCTTCGCCTTCCGGGATCGCTTCTTTTTGTTCGCGACATGTCGGAGTTTGGATTTCTATCCTGGTCAAAAGCGTTTCATATACTTGGGATGTCACCGCGGTTACATTCTGTTCGGCTAGCTCAAGCAGTCGTCTATTTCTGAGAACAACATTAAGCTTCTCGTAATTAACACGAATCACCATGTTCTCCTACTCACATTAGCAGGGCATTTTCTTATAAGCTGCATCTTTAAAAAGGGAACTCACGTCCAATGGCATCGTCTCGTCATCCGCGTAGTCGTCTCCTGAAAAGTCACTATCCTCGACATCCTCTTCTTCTTCCAAGGGGTGTTCAAGCTTCAACCTTTTCCTTGGGCCGGACGAGCCGTCGCTGTCGACACGTCGTTTCACACCCCGTAGCAAACTGGCTGACGGAAGTCCTCGGGATATTGTGGCATCCGTCCACTGTTTCACTAGGTTCTCTGCATCCTCCGCTAGCTTGGCCTCCAGCTTGTTACCCTTCAGCCCGGCCGCGTCGCTATTGCTTTTTACTGCCTTGAGTGCTGCGTCAAAGTTATCCTCTGGGCTCTGGAAATGCTGATTGCGAACGCGGATAATGAAGCCAAAGGCGGCAAGCTGTTGCAATATTGTTTGAAGCTGGGGTGCGGCTTCTACTTCATGATAGCCATTGGACTTTTGAACCGGGCCGTCCAATGAATGACCATCACTTAGGTTGGTACCGTTCTCCAGTTCTCCATCGATGCCATCAACCGCCTCATCATTCTGCTCATGGGTGCCATTCACGCCATTCATTTTACCTGCCGGTTCGGATCCTGGCTGTAGTTCAGGGAGGGACTCGAGATAGCTGATTTTGGCATGGCCAAGAGATAGAATAGTTGAAAAGACCCTGGCGGCATGTTTGCCTAGTCTGTTTTTGACGAGCTGCGTAAACTTCCCTGGCCTCACCAAGTTATAGGCGGCCCTCCAATCTGATTCGTAGTATGTGATACCATCGTCAAAGGAGGTACAATGGAAGACGAGATGTTGCTGAATAAGGACGACAAGCCCATGTTTGACTTGGCGGGGAGATAGGTGGGTGTTTTGGACGATTCGGGGGAGCGGTTGTCGGCCATGGTGGAGGAGATAGGAGAAGATGAGCTATACACCGTCAGTATTGGAGTCCTTCCGACTCTGTTAGCCTCCGAATGGGTCTAGGGCCGTACGTACAGAGTATAACTCCCCGAAATTATCTGTAATTAGGAGCTTGCAAAGCTCTGCGGCATACTAATGAATCATATCAGCATCCCACTCTGCGGGGATCCGATCTGCGCCAAAAAAAAATCCCCTATCTCACCTGAGACATCGTTGCAAGCTTCTAGAGCGGTGCCAGCGCCTCTAGAAGATGTCGCTAGTATCACCGTCGAGCCGTCATCTGCCAGGAAGGGAGCGCAACAAAGGATATAAGAATGGCTGCGGCAGAAAGCAGGGCGCGAGAACCAGAATCGACTCATTCCGCCCGGCGAAATCCACCGTTACCAAAGTTACCGTACTCGAGCCAGCCATCTGGTGCAGAGTGAGACTGCTGACTCAGCATTACGGTACTGCCCAGACGTATCGTCAATCCAGCCAATCAGCGCGGCGCTGACCAAACCTCACCTCCCGAACATCTCAGTTCGACTTGTCGTGAGAGGCTTTTCGATCCGAAGCAAAGGAGCCCAAACCGTGCTTGTCGACGCTCGCAGTGCCGTCCTTCTCGCCAATTGCGCCTTATCTTCCTTTCCCGCTCCTCATTTCTTCATCACATGCGATGATGCTGTCGCGAACCTCCTTTAGCCGGCAAGCCGTGCGGGCTCTGCGAAAACAATGTCTGACCAATGCCTCTCAGCGAGGCATGGCTTCCGCTGCCGCTCCAAAGGGATACGACTATGAAACTACCGAAGTCGGCGGCGTCAAGCTCGCCTGCCGAGACTTCCCGGCGCCAACTACAACGTTAACCGTCGTTGCCAAAGCTGGTTCGAGATACCAGCCATTGCCCGGATACTCCGACGTGTTGGCCAACTTTGCGTTCAAGGTGGGAGAGCTCCCCGAGTGATTCCCCGGGATTTGGATTGGAAACGTTATGAATAAACTAACGACTTCTTTTCAATTGATAGTCAACGAACAAGAGATCGGCGTTGCGGATTACCAGAGAATCAGAGCTGCTCGGCGGAGAGTTCTCGGCTTACCATTCCAGAGAGAACATTGTTCTCCAAACCCGATTCCTTAGCTCTGATCTTCCGTACTATGCTGAATTGCTGGCTGAAGTTGTTTCGGACACGAAATATCCAGGTGAGGACTCCGTCGCTTGGAATGATATGAACCGCTGCTAATGTATTAGCCCATGAACTTGATGAGCTCGTCATTGGCCTTGTGAAAGCCTCCCAGCACACTGCCGCCGCAAACCCTTCTATTCAGGCTCTTGATGCCGTTCACGGCGTTGCTTACCATCGCGGACTCGGGAACCCATTGGTGCCATCGCCATTGACCCCTTTGAAAGAATACGTTGAGGCTGAGGGTGTTGCGGCGTTTGGTAAAAGCGCATACACCAAAGCCACTGCTGCTGTTGTTGCTAGTGGTTCCAACGCGAACGAAGTCTCCAAATGGGTTGGTCAGTTTTTTGCTGGTGTTCCCGCTACCCCCACAAGTAGCCCATACAACGCCGTCGCAGGTGAACCCAGCAAGTACTACGGTGGGGAGCAACGCATTCCAAGCCAAGCTGGGAACGCCGTGGTGATTGCTTTCCCTGGCTCCAGCGCCTTCGGTACCAGCGGATACAAGCCGGAATATAAGGTTCTGGCTGCCCTTCTCGGCGGTCAGTCTAGCATCAAATGGTCCGCTGGTTCTACTCTCCTTTCCAAGGCCGTTGAGGGCGTTTCTGGAGCTTCAGTCGCTACCCAAGAGACAGCGTACTCTGATGCCGGACTCCTCTACATCACTATCACCGGAAAGGCCGAATCTGTTGGCGCAGCTAGCAAGAAGGTCGCCGAGGCCCTCAAGAAGGCCGCTTCTGGTGACATTGCGAGCGAAGACATCAAGAAGGCCATTGCCGTTGCCAAATTCCGTGCCCTCGAAAGTGGACAGGGCCTCACAACCGGCATGGAGCTTACTGGATCTGCTCTTGTCCATGGTAACAAACCATTCCAGGTGGGCGAACTTGGCCAGAGCATCGAGAAGGTCACTGAACAACAAGTCAAGGCGGTACGTGTAAATCCCAATCTCCCTCAAAGTGTACTTTTCTAATCATTAATTTCTAACCCAACGTTTAGGCCGCTAAATCTCTTCTCAACGGCAAGGCGTCCGTCGCCAGCGTCGGCGACCTTTTCCACATCCCATATGCGTCTGACCTTGGTCTAACCGTGTAAATATAAAGTCATCAAATATTTAAACATACCCAAAGCTAAACTCACTTTTGTTGCCCCCCTTGCCGTCCCAATGTTCCACCTCCAAAAGAACCAAAAAAAATTCTTCCCATCACTATAGAGAGTTTCTTCCTTGACACACTCACTCTGTCTGCCAGTTCCCTTTTCTCAAAGCATTACTCCCTGTGCTTGTCCAGCGCCTGCTTTTCAAGCCTTTGCCTTTTGTCGATGTAAGCAGGGAAAGAAGTATAGAGACGGGGAGGGAGAAGAGAATCGGAGTGTGTGCGAACACAGAGGTATGAGATGGAGAGAGAGTCCACTCGACTCAAATTTTGGTTTGGATATCTAGATTTCTGTGTACTGTACTTGTATCAAAAAAGATGAGTTAAGTTATTTCTTCCATGGTTTGGGTCTCCTTTGTGCCTGGTTCATCCTCCTTTTTTTCCCCCTCTACTCTGAACGTATTAGCTAGATCAAAAGCTGTTATAGACACAGATTTGAAATAACTGATATCGAGCAATCATATCCTGGGCAGGTCTTTATAGTTTCTACCCGCATGTTTGATGGAATGACGCAAAACGAATTTTGCCGGATAATAGATATAGTTGATTAAAAAAATAGAAGCCGGTATATCTGAGAAAAACAAAAAGTCTATAGTGATTATAAAGAGGCATACAGAGCAGAATCAACAAATATAGCTTCTCAGCAAGCATGGAGCAATAAAGTCCCGCAACATCATAAATGATACAGGGGTGTGTGGGATCCTACACAGCTAGACACTCTAATGTTTAGCAGTCACTTTGTCGCCGGTCAGCTTCTCGACAGCTTCCTTAGCCCTGCAGACGATATGTTAGCGGTGAAAACTTCCTCCACCCCCAAAAAAAGGAGCCAGTGATAGGGGCCGCAAGCTTACATATCACCGAGAGCAACCATGCAGACGGTCTGCCAAATACCAAGGCCTATACGAGGAGCTACACCTCGATACAATCCCTTGACTCCGTTCGTGCTATAAATATACTTGAAAGTCTTGCCCACAGTCAGGTTCTTAGGGCGGTTAGGGTCTTCAGTCTTGCTCTGCATCTCAACTCGAATAACCTCGATAGGCTGGTTCCAGGCAGACAACCCGCCACCGAGACCGCTCGCAATAATTTTTTCGAAACCGCTAAGCCTCTGGCCTTCTTCCTTGCCAGTGAAACGGCGGATTGCGCTTTCGGCCAACCGCGATAGACCGAATCGAGAACCCCAGTTGGTGGTTTGGCGAATAGCGACCGCGTTGACACCGCGGTTAATTCCACGAATACCTTCGCGTCTATATATGTCCATGAAGGTAGCAAAGGTACTGGGTGGCTTCACACCAGCGGCAGCCATCTTGTGCTTGGTGATCTCCACCGTCTTCATGCAAGTACAGAAACCCATGGTGGCGTATGCCTGGGCGACACCGCCAGCCATACCTCCGCTGATTCCAGCAATGAAATCGGATGCTCCGAAAGTTCTTGCGTGGTATTCGGCTTCTGATGCCACGAAGAGGAGGACAGCACCTTTGGTCGATGCCTCAATCCAGGCCCACGGAATGAGTCCTTGAAAATCTAATATAGGAAGAGTGCGTTAGCGGCTGGGCTAGCGACAATGACGAACGATTCATTAGAGGGCACTCACAGCCGAGCGCACCGCCACGGCCCCAAATCCGCGCCATGGCTCCGGCAAAGGTATCGGTTCTGTTGGCAGCCATGGTTGTCTTGATCACTTCCAGCGGCTACTCAAAACAAAAAAATAATTAGCAAAAATTTCCCATTGCGACTAGAAGATGCACGTAGTAAATACCTGTCCCAGCGTGGTGACCCTATCCGGTTGCAAGTAGTACCCGTTAGCTATCTAATCCAACGTAGCCACTAGCTTCTATCGTCTACTTACTCGAACAAGTTCAAACCAGCGCCAACTACGAAAACGTCAGTCAATCGCTCCCAAACACCAAGGGAGGTCCCCAAGAGGAACACTTACGCAGCAAATTGCTGAACTTGACGGGTTTCTTCTCGATGGTTCGAGGAGCGCTGTTGGCGGAGGAAACCTGAGCGGCGGACATCTCTGGACACTGGGACGCTGAAAGGGGCCCTGACCAAGGGATGAAGGGGGCGTCTTCGCCGGTTTTGGTTCGAAGGGGGGTTTTTAGATCGAAATTGGAAGCAGAAGCGTTGCCTCTACTGCCCTTGTCGCTGAATTCGGGGTGGTTCCGACAACGGAGAAATCGTAGCTATACAGCGCGCAAAGTGGTAGCTAGACTCCTTTGAATCAGGCGTAGCTGCGAGACTGGTTTTATTCAGGCTGTCTGTGGAAGAAGACTCTGAGAAATCACAGTGATGGAAGAGTGCAAAGTCAGGCTGATGCTGTTTGGATTGGAATCCTTTGCTCCGGAGCCTGCGCGCTGATGGGACCCGAATCGTTAGCCAAGAACCTTGGGGCAGCGAGTTCGGGGGACATTGGCCCGTCCCCTTTCTGGGGCCGCGAAAGCGTGTGAAAAGCATAAACTCACCGAGGTAAAAGGCAATTGAAGCGGAAGAGATGGCTTTGCACCTGATTTTTCTGCGACGAGGAGCTTGGACAGAGGACTTGCGATCACAGATTTTTCCAGAGAAGAAGAAGAAAAAGAAAAAAGAAAGCTGAGCGTCTGGACTGAAGCCGCGCATGAAAGCCTCTCGCGCAGTGAATGACTAAGCGGATACAGCTCCTTTCAAACAGTGCAAACATACCTAATCGGGACTAATGGATGATGGTGCCATCAAGCGCTAGGCTGGATACGGAAAGGTACCCGCTGAGTCAGCCGTATTCGTGTCACTCCCGCCAATCAGATGCGCCGGCTGCAGGGTGTGGCTGATAGCTGGCGTCTTTTAAGGCCGAGCTTGGACTGCGAACTTCGGCTTTGTTGAATTCAACAACAGCCCAACAAACAGCTCCAACCAACACCAGGCTACGGAGTACGGAGTACAGAGTAGCGGCGGGGAGATACAGATCACACGTTTTTATGCTATTAGTACATCAACAAAAGCGGAGCTCGCAGTACTTGTACACAAATCAATACCCAAGAACCTCTACCCTGCACCTCCCGTTTGAACCCAGATAATCCCATTTATAGGTAAGAAAAGAAATGTGCGCTCGACGGAACAAGAAAAGGTCTGGGTAGACAGTCGGGGAGTGCCAGGTCATGCAAGTTTTATACAGAGAGAAGAGGCCCTTTCCTCAAGGCCGAAGATTTTGGAGCGTTTACAACTTGGCGCCAACAAGTTTGGCATACGCCTCGGTGCTGAAGGACTTGGGGCGCTCAATCGGTGCGCCGAGAGCACGGTCGATGATCAACTGTGGCAGGACACCAAGAGCACGGGACACACCGAAGAGGACGGTGTAGTAGCTGGCCTCGGTCAAGCCATAGTACTGAAGGAGAACACCAGAGTGCTACAACAGCAACGTTAATCACATGGGGCAAAAAGATCTCAAGGGGGAAGAGCCGGAGCACTTACAGCATCCACATTAGGGTAAGGGTTCTTCGTCTTGCCATGCTCGGTAAGAACGCCGGGAGCAATCTTGTAGACCTGGCTGACGAGCTTGAACATTGGGTCATCAGGCAATTTGCGGAGGGCGAACTCGCGCTGAGAGACGTAGCGAGGATCAGTCTTGCGGAGGACGGCGTGGCCGTAACCGGGAACAACCTGACCAGCATTCAGGGTGGACCAGAGGTAATCCTTGATGGCCTGATCGCTGAGGTCGTTGCCAATGGCCTTCTTCATCTTCTGGAGCCAGACGAGCACCTCCTGGTTAGCCCTGTGAATGCAGCGTCAGTAAAATTTCATTTTCGAGTAAAAACATCATAGCTCAAAACAACATACAATCCGTGAAGAGGGCCAGCGAGGCCGTTCAAGCCGGCAGCAAGAGAAAGCATAGGGGAGCTAAGAGCGCTGCCGACGAGATGAGTGGTATGGGCGCTGACGTTGCCACCCTCATGGTCGGAGTGGATGGTCAGGTAAAGGCGCATAAGCTCGACAAAGTCCTTGTTCTCTCCATAACCGAGCTGGTTGGCCAAATTGAAGCCATAATCCTTGTCTTTCTGGATTGGCGCAACCTTGCCATCCTTGAACACGTTGCGGTAGATTTTGGAGGCGATACTGGGCAATTTAGCAATCAAGTCCATAGAGTCCTCAAAAGTGTATTGCCAGTAGTCCTTCTTGTTGATGCCCTTGGCATAGGCCTTTGCGAAGGAGGATTCATGTTCGAGGGCAGTAACGGCGAGGGAGAACTGAGCCATTGGATGCAAAGTGTTTGGGCAGCGATCGAGGAGCTCCTCGACGAATTTGGGAACGTCGGATCTAGCAGCCCATTCGGCAGAAAGGTCACGGACCTGTTGCTCGCTGGGGACTTCTCCCGTAAGGAGCAGCCAGAAAAGACCTGTTCGTTCAGTCAGATTTCCCCTTTCTAAATTATCCATTGCCTTTCATCTCATCTGGAGAGGTCTTTCCACTGACCTTCTGGAAGAGGCTCCTCGCCGCCTGGCGCTTTAGGTAGTAATTTCTGGCATTCGGGGATCTAAAAGAGCCACCTGTGAGAAATTGCGCATTAAGGCTTTTCCAACGTGGCTTTGACCATACCGTATATCCTCGGAAACGAATACCCTCCTCCGAATCGAGAACAGATCCCTAGATATATTTAGTACCGATTCCGCCGGCTATTTCCCTCAAAGGGGGTCGCATACCTCCCAGACAAGAGATTTCACACCACGGGCACCTCCATAGACTTGATCGAGAGTCACTTCTCCCAAAACCTTGGAACCGAATTCCCTTCAATCACAATGAATTGGTTAATCGTCAATTCGTTTTATTATCGTGGAGTATAGATCCACTCACTTTCTCAACTTCTTAACCTTCTCAACTTCACCAGGAAGCTTGTCGGCGAACGTGTCTTTCAAAGACTAAGGAACACCGGAATCACGTTAGCCTACCGACTACAAATAACGGCACTCTCCGAATGTACCAACCTTGGACTTTGCAGATGAGTAGGAGCGAAAGCAATTGAAAGCCGCAGACTGAACGGCGGGCTTGGAGGCAAAAGAGGTGGAACGGAGCGCAGCGCTCCCCAATCTGAGTGTCGATGCCATCGCCGGAAACAAACAAGGCCAACAGAGAGTAGAAAGGATGTCTCAGAGAAGGCTAATGTGGAGGGAGATGGGAATTGAGGTCAGGGTTGGGGAAGAAACAACAATTTAGAATTGCCAGAGCGAGAAAAAAAAAGAATAACTGGGCGTTTCTTAGCCCGGCATGGTTGGGGAAGAACGTTTTTACAGGCCTGGCTGCAGAGCTGCAAACAGGTTTCGTACGCTCCAGTACGGGATTCCTGCCAGCCCGTGAAGGTAAATTCACCGGAATACTGTCATGTTTTGTAAATTCTGTCAATAGTTGCTGGACATGTCCTCTTGCTCTGAAAAAGAACTATCCATCTAGAAAGCTGATTCACATGAATTCTGCTAGAAAGGGCCAATTCATAGCAGATTGCTACATACACCATGCCTACAAGCAGGCATTGGCAAAGAATTGCCGTGTCTATAGTCAGGAGCCGTTGTTCCCGAGAGCTCCCGTCGTTACTCTGTAATGTAACATAATTACCGAGGCCCTTCAGCATCAAGCAAGTTGATCATATTGACAGGCACTGACCACGATATGGAATACAAGGCAACAATTTTTGTGTGTAATAACTACAAAGGGTGACTCTCTTGTATTCGCTTTGCCAGGGGTGTGTTGTATTTGTCTTGAATCCTCTCCCACACTGCAGAGTTCTCAGGAGGTTTCAAAGAGCATTGTCCCAAAGGTCTACGAAAGAGCCTGATTCGCGCGTCATCATACATCACGATTGAGCATCATTGAGTAAGATGTATAAGCTGCTGAAAAAATTGCCCCGTTGAATGTCTTTTGTAGTGATATCCCCCATCGGCACAGTGGTAGTGACGTCACAATGCTAAACCATTGTTGAAATCCAAATGGATGCAATGGAAGACGGAAATGTGACAAGAATGAGATAACAGAGCAGCAGCGTGAGCCTCATTGTTGGAATTTCAAAGCATGTAGCATAATGGTGATGTCCTCAAGCGCTCTCATCAATATCACTGCTTTGTTCTGCACTTGTTGGGAGAACCGCCACCGAATGGTACAGTCACGTGCGCTTGTTTCTGAGTTAGGTCTAGCGCAGCCCAAGCGAAGCGCCTTTTCTGCTGCTCAAACTCTTCTTCCCAATTCTGTTTCTTCTCCATCCAACATCATTCTTTCCATCGACTCTCTTGTTGTAAATCCATCCTCCTTATCCATCTACCTTGCTTAATAGATGAGTCGGCGACTGTACGTGGCTTTCTAACGTCGATAACGCCTTGCTATTTGCCTCTGCGACTGTAGGCCATCGCTCGCTGTCATATCGCGAAGAGCTGTAGTGCCGCCCTGGCCCATCACTGAGAAGCTTCAAAATCAGCGTTGGATTGATTGCGTTCATCACTTAGACTCACTTTCCCCGCTGGCTTGAGGCCCAACGAAGCCCTGTTTCGTGCAGTAGATCCTCGAAAGTGAGCCCTTTTTGGAAGAGGCCAAGCTGCTCCTTTGGTCGTCCGTGTGGCGCGTTGGAAAGCATTCAAAAGCACTTGCAGATTTTTATAAGACTTTGGGCTGGTATCAACCTCATCTCGGCGCAAGATGTCATCTGCGGTAGCAGAGCTGGATGGCTATCTTCAATCCATGCTTGCACTGAAGCCCCCCGGTGTATCTCGCTCGAAAATCGACGGCATTACCTCTCTCTGTACTGCCAACGTCCAGGTATGGTCACACGTTTATCCCTTTTTCGCAAGTAAAATTAAACTGCGATGTCTTGAGTTGAGGCTTCCCCGAATTCGAGGCTAATAGTTGGTCAAATGCTCCTTAGTCCGAATCTGTCTTGATCCAAAAACTATATACCCACTTTAAAAGAGCTCCAGGAACACACAAACTTGGCGTACTTTATGTCGTAGACTCTGTAACTCGACAGTGGGTTGATTCTGCGCGCAAAGCTGGTCAGCCAACGGATAGCAATGCTCTAGATGGCACATTTGCTGCGGGTGTCAAGAGAGTTACCGATTTACTTCCTGTGCTCATGACCGATATAATAAACAATGCTCCTGAAGATCAAAAGGTACGCGTACTCTTAGATGTGAAATTGAAAACAAAACCATTCTCCAAGCCGACGCTCTCATAATGAGCCTTAAATCCGCTTCATTGGCCTTTTTCCTGGCCTTATGCTTGACTTCAACAACTTTTAACCTGTATACCCCTTGTTATTATCGTTGCCTTGCCCTTAATAGGTCATCTCCTTGGCTCTTCATGCTGTGACTGAATAGTTCAAACTTACGTATGGCCGTTTTTTCATTTAGGACAAAATCAGAAAGTTGGTGGATATTTGGGAGCGCGGAGCCACCTTTCCAGCTGCCATGCTCTCATCTTTCAAGCAAAAGCTCAATGCACCAGTATCTCAGAGTAAGCCCTCTCCCCTCTCGGACAGAACCTGCCCTCCCACATTGTGGTTTAAAACGTATTCTAGAAGGGCCACTGGGCAGAGTTTAGGGTGTGTGAACCCATAATTCTAATGTATGCGTTGTCTTCATAGATGTTCAATCTACCACTCCCGAAGGATCACCAGCACCCGGTTTCAATCCCCTTCTAGGATTAACACAGCAGCCGCAGCAAGGAGTTCCAGCTGTTAGCTCGACTCCAACTCAAGCAGTACCAGACACCTCAAGCATTTTGAAAGCTTTAGCAGATATGGCAAAACAAAATACGGCGGCTGCACCAACTATTCCTACTCCCGCTCAAACTAGTTCCAATAATGTATTAAATGCGCAGAGTACAGCTCCCGCTCCGATCTCTTCGTCTGTAGAACAGACTGCGCCACAACCAAACGGGCAAGCTGTAAACCCGTATGCTGGAAATCTTGCCGCTCAGTTTGCAGGCTTGAGTAATCTCGCCCCAAATATGTTTCCAAACCAAGCACAGACACAACCACTTGCTCCGCACAATCCGCTCGCTGCGTTGCTACAGCCGCAGCAGTTGCCGTCACTGCCGCCGCAACAGCAGCAGCCTCAATCAGCCCCTAGCAATATCACTCCTGAAGCGTTACAGCAGCAACTTGGCCTTATCCAGTTGCTAGCCGCGCAAGGCATTCCACAAGACCAATGGGCAACTGCATTGCAAATTTTAAGCCTTTCCAGTACTGCAAATGCCGGCATGGGCGCACTTAACCCCGCGGCCATGCTGTCTGCCTTTGGCCAGCCGGCTGCCCAGAATGCATGGGGCGCACCAGCCCATGACACATCATCACGTGACAGAGATCGGGAGAGAGAAAGGGATCACGATTATATGCGATCTCCTCCGAATCAATTCCGCCGTCGTTCCCGTTCCCCTGGATGGGAAAGGCGTCGTGAGGCATCTCCTCCTCGCCGTCGTGATAGCCCTGTGTATGGAGAGTACCATGGCGAGTCTCCCGGCCGCAATCGGGCCGATGGCCGAGATGGACGTGGTGGTCGTCGTGGTAATGATTATCGCCAACGTAGTCCCCCAGGAAGACGTCGCCGTAGTCCGTCACCTCCTCGTAAGGACAGTTCGCTACCTCCTCCAGGGCCGAAACACGTCGAATGGGATTATTCTATTGGACAAGGAAATATCAAAGGTATCTATTCAGCCGCATTCCGATGTTCGTGTCTATGTAGATCCATGCTAACGTAGTTCGAAAACTGCAGTTTTAAGTCGAACCCTGTTCGTTGGCGGTGTTACGTAAGTATATCAATCCCATGTGCTTTCTAGCGCCCGTCTCGAAGAAAATGCTCACGAAACCGCACAGGGCATCCGAGTCGCATCTCCGCTCACTCTTCAGCCGATATGGGGCTGTTCAGACGTGTATTGTCAACATTGATAAGCGCCATGCCTTTGTGAAAATGGTCACCCGCCGCGATGCGGTGACTGCCCGTGACGGAATGGAACAGTACAAGTCTGGAGACATGCAACTTAGAGTACGTGGCTTCCCATCTTTGAATCAACGGTTCTACTAACTTGAAAAACCAGACGCGCTGGGGTGTGGGATTTGGCCCAAGAGATTGTAGCGACTATCAAACCGGCATTAGTGTTATTCCCATCGAACGACTTACAGAAGCCGATCGGAAATGGATGCTTACAGCCGAATACGGAGGCACCGGTGGAAAACCGATCGAGAGCGGCATGGTCGTCGAAGAGCCTGACATCGAAATCGGCGCAGGAGTGTCCTCAAAAGGTACGTAACTAGCATCGCTTTTAAATATCGATTTTAACATGGAGGATAGCCATCAGTCGAAGAATGGCAACGGACCAAGGAGGCAAACGCGGCCCTCAATCAAGCCGGCCACCATTTGAACAACCTCGATTCCGCCGTCAAGAACGTGGTTCAGATGATGGACCTGGTAGCGATCGCGACCACGACAATTCCAGCGCCAATAACGTTGCTGTCCCACCAGCTGTCCCCGGTTTCGGTTTCCAGCTCCCTGGCATGCCAATGTTTCCTCCTGGCTTCATGATGGGCGGTGCGCAGCCAGCCTCGTCTACGACGACCCCTCAGCCTCCTGCGCCCGGTTCAGGAAGTTGAAATGCATAAAAAGGAAAAAGCAAAAGTGACATAGCATTTCAAAGTCTATACCTCTTACTGATAGCAACTTTCGAGAGAACGGCGTTGGAATTGGGTTTTCTTACTTGCAGTGAGAGTTGTGTGAACGGCGGCATTTTGGGAAGCGCATCGAATCTGTTCTATGCATTGTCTTTTGTTGTCTTTTTCTCAGAAATGTACTTCCACAAAGCCTTGTTGATGCACTCTTCTCTCACACACTGGCGCTTTGCTTGTTCACGTCTCGGTTTATTACGGATCATCGGTTTTGTTTTACTTCTTCACTCTGATCCCTGTTTCTATAATTGATACTTCTTTCTTTGTTTTTTTTCCCCTCTCAGCTAATCACTTTGCTTTGACTTTTTTTCTTCTTACTCATCTGCTACTTCTTCCAACGTTGGGATTGTCGGAGCTTTTTCTATTTTCTACTTTTTTAAAGAAAAACTTTGTACTTGTATAACTATCAGTCTCAGAATTTACATTGTCAAAAACTATACTCATTTTCAGTTTGCATGGTTTTACTGCTATGTAGTTGATTTTAAGACGGCAGTGCGAGTGTTTCACGTCTTGAGAGAGAACAATATAAATTCATCTGGGTCTGCAATAATCCAGCCCTTCGAAACGAGATAATATTAGCTTTATATATATATTTGGAAACTCAAGATGTTTGTGCATATGTATAAGCGATACCATAAAGAGGTACCAAGAAAGGACGGGGGAAGCACCAAAGGAATATGATATGAGCTTTTCTGCGCCCAATTTAGAAGTCAGGTGGCGTGGATGGGCCTTTACATTGGTGCCGTAAAGAGAGACACGAAGGACCAACGCTGGGCCGTTTCTGACAAACCCATCATGGACGGCTGATCATGATCAGGCATATGAGGGTGTGGCGATGTAATAGCAGTCGAAAAGATAACCGCAGAACGAGGTCAAAAGGAGAGCCTCCCAGGGTTAAGCTTTTGAGCTTATCTTAGTATCCACAGTCGGTTATCCAGTCTTGATGAAGCCAGGAACGAAGCTTTTTCTGAATTTAATTTTTTTTCAGTGACGTCCTACGCCGTCAGATCCGAAGGAGTATGCTCCTTTATCCAACGAACACCATGGCCACCAAATCTGGGTACTGTGGTTCTCCACACATAAAGAAGAGAATCCACTGATTTTCGAACGTTGCATCGTCACAGTCAGTCGACGTTATCAGCCGGATTTTCTTCGGGGATATTGCGATCCCGGCCATCGTAGTGCGAGCATTTTTGCCATATCCATCCACGGGCGTCGCCTACGTCAGGGTAGGAGTACGGGAATCGGAATAAACTGCTTCTGGCGAATTATCCTAACCACCGAACCACGTAAAAATTGAATCCCATCCTGTATCTGGTACCGTAAAGCCTGGGAGGCACGCTGGGCCGCGAAATCTGCGGCGAAAATAGTTTGGACCGAAGTAGGGTACGAGAAGGGAGGAGGGCGTAGTAAAATAGATCAGAGGATAGTTGGGTTTCGGTCGAGTTATTTCACCAGTCATAGATAATTGACGCGACTGATATTGCCCGTGTGCAATATAGCCAAGTCACGGCAAAGAATAGGAGGGTATCCGTTGCTTCCAGTCAAGCTCACCGATGCATTTGTTGATAAATGAATGATGCTTCAATTCACTTGGAGATGTCCGGGGCAAAACGGGTTGAAAGGTGACAGTCATCTTGTCTGCTAGGGAGCTGAGGGAGCTTGTGAGATACAGCGCGAGAACCCTGACATTGGAATTCTTGTCACTTACCAGATATTGTTCTTTCCAACGATTCCAGAACCGTTGAAGGACGAGACTCTTGTCATCATTCACGCAGTTCAACGGCCCATGAATCTGAAGATCTGGGAGGCCGGGATGCAAGATCATCGGCATCAAAAAGCGCAAACGAGCACCGGTCGCAACATCCCTGTCCGGTTCCTGCCTGGCCCGCACGGCGAACAGGGCCTCCTTCCCCCTTTCGTTTCAAGTTTCCAAAACGGGAAGCTTGCTTAGGGTCGGCCAAGAGAGGGAATTTCAAAACAAACAGAAAAACACATGACGAAGAAAGGGGAAAACAGGGGATTTATCAAGACTCCCAGGCGATAATTGCAATGGAGATGGCTTCGTGGTTTGGAATCGGCCACGGAGTCGATTTCCGCACAATAACATCATCGTAATTCATCGCAACATCAGAAAATCTGGAGGATTCACGTTGGCAAAGCTTGTCTGCTCACACATCAATTTTTGGCGTCGATCACTTGCAGGTGAGCGGATTACGCTGGCGGTGGGCTTCAAATACGATGGCGGTAAAGAATCAGGGGATGCCCGTGCATTCAGATTGGCTGCTTTCCTGCTTCGCTAGTCTCGCATGTCTTGCATTGATATCCTAGGGTCATGCGGGAGAAAGAGCCCCGTCAAAACTGTTCCTGTCAACCTTGGGAAGAACAGGCTGGAGTTGCATTTTCTGTTGCTCTTGGATTCAATTGCGCGTCGCGAGACAGTGAGGCAATTGATAACAACTTCCTCCGGACGGGCTGCAGGTTCCCAGGCCAGACAGCGGCCACAACCACCTCTGCGGTTCTCTGCCCGGTCAGGAATTGAAAGCAGGGCAAAACCACTACGGGTTGAACCGGGCCGGGGATTGTGCAACCTCGTCTCCGTCATCCCACATGGCTAGCGTGGAAGCTTTGTGTCTCTCGTCGTGTTCACGCACAACTCGCATCGCAAGACGGAGAACGCAAGCCGATTCCTGTTCTGCAGCACGCTCTCTTGCTACTGGCTCGAGGAGAACAGAGGGAAATCCAGAGCATGGAAGACCATCGCTGGGCAAAAAGAAAAACAGAGCAAGGAATTCTGCACGAATCAACTCGGTTGGCGATGCGGCATTATTGTTTGCTAGCTCCTCCGATTGTAAGCAGCATTGTCTTCGAGCTCCGTGGTGGATTTACGCAGCATGATTGCTTTTGAAGGCTTGAATGCTTTTGCCAATTTTAGCACACAGACTAGTTATGCTGCTGAAACTGCGATTCGTTTCTTGCGACACAAGTTTGACCCCATGCGATTTTGACAGGAATCAAGAATAGCCTTTGGATAGGTTACCACTGCAGGAGGCTTTCCGAGTGAAGCGGCCTAGCCTGGCTGGGCTTAGTGACTGAAGCTCGCCAAACCTTCTCCCTGGCCTTCTGGAAATGAGAAGCAGGCCAAAAGAGAGCGAGAACGGAAGTGCTTTGGTCTCGCAAAGGGCTGATTGACAGCAAGGCGGCACGCGGCTGCCTTGGACTCCCAACCAAGGATTGCGCGAGCTGCTCCAGTTGGTGAATCATCAAGCCAGGGAGACCCAAATCGCCAGAAGCGACTCAAACCACGGCGAGGAAACAGAGAAACGGTCTTGTAATCAAAACGCCCATGCCCCTGCCGCGGGCCCGAATGCCACTCACTCCGGCCCCAATGGACACGTCCCGCGGAGATCCCAAGCTCTCTAGCAGCTGTCCCGCAAATGATAGACCGCCGTATTGAACGGTTTCGAAACATACCGTCACGACCGCACCGTACATGACCATACACAAGGCAGCTTAATCTTACACGGACCACCTAATGCATGCAGCCTGATTGGCAGAGCGTTCCTGATGTCATGCCCTGCAAGTGCGCGGCTTTTCTCTCCTTCTAGAAGACACGTAGAACAAACCTGCCCCGTGCCTCGGAGAAAGGTTTTTGCATCGCTCCGGTTTGCCCTTTTTTGTCTCTCGCCCGATTTTGAGGCATTTTTGTCGGAACTCCTCAGCCGCGGAAATGTTCCCTGGATGTCGTATTGCGAACGCCATGACCACCGATCCATTCTTGAAGGATCTCGACCCGTTTGGTGTTGCGGAAAATTGCTGCCAAATGTCACCCGGAGTTGCCGTTGGTGATCTCGCTTCTAAATTTTGCACCTCGAAAGCCCTCCTTATTTGGGGGAGGAGTGAGGGGCGCGTAAACGGCTCCCCCGCATACAGCAGCGGGTTTGGGGGCCACTAATTAACTAGTTGACTAGTGAGAGCAAGGAGCAGTATCGGCAGTTCAACCCCATATCCATCGATGCTTTTTACAAAGTCGCAAAAACATTTATTCGTGTGTATACAAGTTTTCTACTGGGGCACAAACGTCCGATTTAACCCGTGTGCATACGAAATTCGGTGATTTCTTTTCGAAATATGGGTATTCTCCTCACCGCAAGATCTGAATCTTTGCCGCCCGATAGATTTTTCGCCTCTTCCCACCCAAGAGAGGTTACGTCAACTCGCGATGGATGTTGTCGCCATCTTGCAGCCATCCCATTTGGGAAAAATTCTTGCAGTTTGAAAAACTTGATCGAATTGGCGTGGCAAGCAGATAAACTGCCGGAACGGTCCGTGCGACCGGAGGGGTGGCATCCTCACTGCGACGATGCATGTCCAATGACAAATAAGCGCGATACCGTAGGGGGAGGCAGCGAAGATCTCCAAAAGTACATAGTTGCATGCGGGACTTCTCTGCAAAAGAGATTTCATGAAATAATAGAAATCTCCAGCCGCGCTCGCACCGCTGGTTGAGGAACCCGAGCCAATCGCGAGTTCTGGAGCCCTTGTTATTTCTTCCTATATCGCGGTGGAGAGTGTTGATTTCGAATTCAGTGTTTCCAGTGGCGTGGGCGAACCGTCTCGGGGGAAGATGATGTTTTCTTCCTATCCTTGCTAGTCAACCAGTGACGTCTTGTGACTTGTTGCCGACTCAGGACGGAATGTCCGTTTCTGTTGGTTGACGGCATCGACAGGCTCCTCACCGCTGATTAGACAACATGCCTGCCAGGCACTTTTTGTGAAAAGCTGCGGCCATGGCGGAAGTCTCGACAAGAGTATATGCGGCCGGGGTCAATATCCAGATGTTGGTGATGCGTCTGGCTCAAACACCGCAATAATGGCCGTTTTTCAGCCATTGCACGGCCTGCTCCAGAGCGCTTCATGACGCTCTCCATCTAGTTATATTGACAAACATAAAAGCGTAATGTTTGCACATTCTGCCAATGCTCGCCCTGCGTCGGAGCTTGGTGAACCGCTGCAGCTTATGTCAGCAGGGTTTTGGTTCCTGGAGCCCAAGAGGATTTTGTTGCCGAAGTTGCCGAGATTTCAATTTTCTCGCCCTCCGTTTTCCTGTTCCCTATTTGAACGCCTTTGGTGGGTCGAGGACTTGCGAGGGAACTTGAACGAGGGGGGAGAGAACGGGAGAGAGACGGGGCAAACTTGGCCGTGGCACTTTTGTTTTCGTTATATGGATCTTCTCCAGAATGAAGGGCGGCAATGGGCACGGAAAGGGAGCCGAGATTGGGTCGACATTATGCCGTTGAAGTCATGGCCTTTTGTCTCGAGTATCCCAAATTCGGCCATCTCCTCTGCAAGTCTGGCTTCGTCGCTGTCTTCTGGATGCAATGGAAAGAGCAGTAAGAGCGGCAATATCGATCATATGTTGCTCCGTATCTATGATGGCGGCTTGTAGGTCTTACGTACCGCTCAGGACTGCAGCCCCAATGCGGAGTAGTCAGTGCTCTTTGAACTGCACCTGGCATCAATAATCATAAACAATACTGTAGTTCAACAAGGACCGCGCACCCAGCGCGAGGCGGTAACAATGTAACAAACCAACCATACAATCTTGGCCTGCAGCCTCTCGGCCTGCTCAACGTGTCAAATCCCTCAGAAGCAAAAAGTATGTGTGTACAAGAACTTCTTAACTATTCGTCATCGGTGACGGCTTTGTGAACGCTGCTTCGTTCCTCAAGGGGATTTTATCCTCCTTTTCCCTCTGTCCTCCCCGTCGCCCATATTGCCCCAAAGCGGTTGCTCCGTCCGCCTGATATACTTACGTGGCCCTCCGTACAACCTCCCCTTCCAAGAAAGAAAGCCGTCTCGTCTCCTCTGTTGATCCCGCAGCGGAAACGACCATCGCCAAGACCCCGGGCTTCCATCCTGTCACCATCGCCAAGGCCAATATGCTACATTTCAAAAAAGAGTTCCCTCCGCTTTTTCGGCTGGCGTCTTTTGTTTTTTTTGTTTTGTTTTTTTCCCACCCCTGGTACGGCGGGGGAGAAGCGTTCATTTGGTGCTTTCTAGCAGGAACCGGGGGGATACAATCGGCAGCTGGGGAAATAGTGTTTGCTTGTTGGATCGTCTTTGCAGAATTGCTTCGAGGTTTTAATAGTATAATCGCCAGTTGCTGGAGTTCAAAGGAGGCCGGAAAAGGCGTGCTCCTTTGTTGCGCGCAATACTAATACATACACCATCTGCGCGCGGAGATCATTTCCCTCTTCTTTCGCTTTTCTTTCCGGAAACTCACAATCTTCCCTCTCCTGAGACACGCATCGTGGTGTAAGGTACGGCATACGCGCCTTGATAAGTGATGAATAGCGACATTCTTTTTGCTTTTTGCCAGCGGGATTTTCCGAGCGGGCGCATTGAATTTCGAGTAATGTCGCAGAGTCCTCTCGATAGGTGCTTGGTTCATGAGCAGGTGTCACCCACAAGTGAAGATCCAATGTTGGCGTTACTCGGCAGCTTGGCCCTCGTGGAACATTGGACGCAAGGACTGGCTCTTTGAAGCCCAAGAGGAATCTGCTGCGAAATATAGGGGCAGTGCTTTGTGTACCAAAAAGAAGAGGGTTATCGTTTAGATTTGCATTTTTCATTGAGGATCCTAAATGCCGAGAGCACCTACAGCAAAAGCTCCAGGAGTCATTTAACTTGAGTTCTGCGGCCTTGCCAATACTCTCTCTTTCGGTACTGTTAATTTAACAGCTGTGAAGATGTCATTTTCCTGGATGATTTTTCTTCAGGTTCGCTGATGCACATGTTCCGGCGGTGACATTTTGGTTCATGTGCGATCACGGCCAAGGGCGATCGCTCCCAAATGATTTGCAGGTTGTGCGCGGAGCTAAATGCTCCATCAGGGGTGAAGCTGAACTGTACAGAAGTGCCCTGGGTTGATCGCGGGCGCCAAAATGGATAAGAAATGTAAAGAAGAGAGCCACACACTTGAAACAACACTCTGCCTGAAGCTTCTCTATCCTGAAGAGATAGAAAAAGGGGGCGCCATTTTGAAAGTCAACAATCACGTCACCGTTCAAATTGCAGTTAATCTGCTGCTCCACAAACTTGTTGGAAGGCCGGCGGTCGGTCATGATCTTGCGTAGGGAGATCAGATGAGATACAGGTTGGGGAGACGCTGTATATTATGAAGAAAAGAGGCGTGCTTGATCGGATTTTCTTCAAGGATGATTCTGGTATTCGTTGATGAGATCATGGGCAAATCGTTCCTAGCGGGATCGAAGCAGCCCAGCGCCGCCACTGATGCAAGAGATTGGCCTGTGGGATGCCTTGCAAGGCTCCGTCGCGGTTCATTGAGTTTCTGCATCGATTTGATAGTTACAGCCGACTTGCCTAATTACTGTGTCCGCTCAGGCCTCGTCCTCTTTCATCGCGTCCGGAGGGCAGTTCCTCCCCGAGGAGCACACTCCCGACGAGGCGTTGGTGGGAAAGGACCACGGACTATTACGTAGTAGCAAGCAAACTATTATTAACGACACCTGAGGCTGTATGTAATAATAAAGAGGGTTACAACGGAAGTTTCGGTGCCAATTCCGTTGAAGCCGACAGCAACGATTCTTCTTGTTCTGCTTCACGACGAGGCATTTCAAACAAGAGCTACAGAGGACATCTTCTCGATTTCTACATTATGGAAAGCGTCCTGTCGAGTTGTCAGGTCCTGGCTAGATGTCTGCCTATCAATGATATGGCTCGTTGCCCCTTTGCACCAAGGAACGAGAGCTCTGCCTGAACCTCGAGATACTGTAACCGATATAAATCTAAACTCTCGATTGATGAGTACTCTGTAGCCTTCTGCTGGACTTCCGCTTGTACCGACCGACCTGGACTCAAATGGATGGCTTTCAGTTCAGTTTCGGTTATAAACAAGAGCTTGACCAAGCTTACTAGCTGGGCTCAGGGTGTGTGCCTGGTTGAAATTTTCAATGTTACCACAACAACCACCTCAGGGGGGAAGCAGGTGCCGCCCAGGCTTATCTTTCCGTACGAAAATACTGTATCGTACCTGGGCGTGCGGTTCGGTTCCAGCGCAAAACGCACGCCCGATTTTGTTTCCACCGCGCTGCCACTCGGGCCACACGCCGAACTTACCGGTCTGTTGATCAAGAGGCAAGCTCCCCCGTAACGGTATTTCAGGCGTATCTCGCGCTTACCTCGCTGCTGCTGGAGCCACTTTGCGGGTCTATCTACCAATCACCGAGCGGACAGGTCGTCCCGCTGGACGGTATTGGGGTATTTTATTCGATTTTTTTTTTTCGCTCAGGCGATCCGTGGGCGAGTGGCAGAGGAGACTCTCGGGCTGTTACCACCAGTACCACGAATACCCAGCGCCCATCGCTCCCGTACCGTGGATGCGTGACAAGGTCTGCCTTTCTCTTAGACTTTTTCACCCAACTAGCATTTTGAGTTTGCGTCTTCCCACCTCGCATATATCTTCCCTTTCTTCCCGGCACTTCGTCTTGACCTCTCCTCTTCTCCTCTTCCTCCCTTTGACACCTCCGTTCTCCCTCTGTGTCAATTGTCTCTCTTCTCCCTTTCCCCCGAGGTTGCGTCGTACGGTCTGTACTCTGACTGTGCGCTCAAGCTTTCCCGCTCTTCCCTTTCCCCCTCTCCCCTCTCCTCTCCTCCTCCTTCTCTCCCCATCGTCCGCGCCGGTTTTGAAAATCCTCCCTTCCCGCTTTCAGCGAATCTAACCAATCCAAACCAGCCCAACCCTTTGTGTGTTTTTCTTCTCTCCCGCGTTGGATCCCATCCCTACGCTGGATTAAATCAGAATCTTTCCGATTTCCCTCCCGGTCGCGGATTTCGAGACAACCCTCAACCAACGCCGTCATGGCAGAACCGACTGGCTCAACCCACCCCCAGGGTGTTGTGCCGCCAAACCACCTTGGTACCACCGTCCCCAGTGGAGACTTCGAGGGTCAAAGTGAAAAAGCGCCTGCTCCAGTGTCTGAGAAGAAGCCCATTCCTGACGATGATGAGGAGGAGGAGGACATGGATGCGCTCATCGAGGAGCTGGAGTCCCAGGATGGCCACATCGATGAAGAGGATGAAGACGAGGGCGAGCCCGGCGGTGCCCGTCCTGTGCCCGAGGAGCTGTTGCAGACTGACACCCGCGTCGGTCTCACGGACCAAGAAGTCGCTGCGCGTCGCAAGAAGTACGGTCTCAATCAGATGAAGGAAGAAAAGGAGAACATGGTTCTCAAGTTCCTGAGTTATTTCGTTGGTCCTATTCAGTTCGTCATGGAGGTGGGTTCTTACCGCAATTGCGTTTACCTAGCTCTGTCAAATCCTCTTTTACGCCGGATGAGTGCGAAAAGAATGGAGACAGATCGCGTGTGCTAGTGGCGTTTTTAAGAAATCTTGAAGCTGACCTTGACCCAGGCTGCTGCCGTTCTTGCTGCCGGTCTCCAAGATTGGGTAGATTTCGGTGTTATCTGCGGTCTGCTCTTGCTCAACGCCTGCGTTGGTTTCATCCAAGAATTCCAGGCTGGTTCCATCGTCGACGAATTGAAAAAGACTCTTGCTCTTAAGGCTGTCGTTCTCCGCAATGGCCGTCTTGCTGAAATTGAAGCTCCTGAGGTTGTGCCTGGTGATATCCTCCAGGTTGAAGAGGTAGGCATGTGCCGTATGCTATTGAAGACTCTGGCATGCTAACAAATTGCTTGTTTGATAGGGTACCATCATTCCCGCTGATGGCCGCATTGTCACAGAAGATGCTTTCCTCCAGGTTGACCAGTCTGCCATTACTGGAGAGTCATTGGCCGTTGATAAGCACAAGAACGACACCTGTTATGCGTCCTCTGCTGTCAAGCGTGGAGAAGCCTTTGTCGTGATTACTGCCACTGGTGATAACACGTTCGTCGGTCGTGCTGCCGCTCTCGTCAGCGCCGCCTCCGCTGGTACTGGTCACTTCACTGAGGTTCTCAACGGCATCGGTACTGTCTTGCTTGTCTTGGTCATTGTGACTCTCCTGATTGTCTGGGTTTCTTCTTTCTACCGCTCTAACGGAATTGTCACTATCTTGGAGTTCACCTTGGCCATTACCATTATCGGTGTCCCTGTCGGTCTTCCTGCTGTCGTCACCACCACCATGGCTGTCGGTGCTGCTTATCTCGCCAAGAAGAAGGCCATCGTCCAGAAACTCTCTGCCATTGAATCTCTTGCTGGTGTCGAAATCCTTTGCTCCGACAAAACTGGTACTTTGACTAAGAACAAGCTCTCCCTTGCTGAGCCCTACACCGTCGCTGGCGTTGACCCCGAGGACCTCATGTTGACTGCCTGCTTGGCCGCCTCCCGCAAGAAGAAGGGTATCGATGCCATCGACAAGGCTTTCTTGAAATCGCTCAAGTACTATCCTACCGCCAAGTCAGTTCTTACCCAGTACAAGGTCCTCGAATTCCATCCCTTCGATCCTGTCTCCAAGAAGGTCAGTGCTGTCGTCGAATCTCCCCAAGGTGAGCGCATCACTTGTGTCAAGGGTGCCCCTCTTTTCGTCCTCCGTACCGTCGAAGACGACCACCCAATTCCAGAGGAAATTGATGCCGCCTACAAGAACAAGGTCGCCGAATTCGCTACTCGTGGTTTCCGTTCTCTTGGTGTTGCTCGCAAGCGTGGTGAAGGTTCCTGGGAAATCCTCGGTATCATGCCTTGCTCGGATCCTCCCCGTCACGATACTGCTAAGACTGTCAACGAAGCCAAGACCCTTGGGTTGTCCATCAAGATGTTGACTGGTGATGCCGTCGGTATTGCTCGTGAAACCTCTCGTCAACTCGGTCTCGGAACTAACATCTACAACGCTGAGCGCCTTGGTCTTGGCGGTGGTGGTACCATGCCTGGTTCTGACATCTATGATTTCGTTGAAGCTGCCGATGGTTTCGCCGAAGTTTTCCCTCAGCACAAGTACAACGTCGTCGAGATCTTGCAACAGCGTGGTTATCTCGTTGCCATGACTGGTGACGGTGTCAACGATGCTCCATCTCTCAAGAAGGCCGATACCGGTATTGCTGTCGAAGGTGCCTCTGATGCTGCTCGTTCCGCCGCTGACATCGTCTTCCTTGCCCCCGGTCTCTCTGCCATTATCGATGCCTTGAAGACTTCTCGCCAGATTTTCCACCGTATGTATGCGTACGTTGTTTATCGTATTGCCTTGTCTCTCCATCTTGAAATCTTCTTGGGTCTCTGGATCGCCATCTTGAACACTTCCCTCAACTTGGAGCTGGTCGTCTTCATTGCCATTTTCGCTGATATCGCCACCTTGGCCATCGCTTATGATAACGCTCCTTTCTCCAAGACTCCTGTCAAGTGGAACTTGCCCAAGCTCTGGGGTATGTCTGTCCTCCTCGGTGTTGTTCTCGCAGTCGGTACCTGGATCACCCTCACCACCATGTTGGTTGGCACTGAAGACGGTGGTATCGTTCAGAACTTTGGTGTTCGTGACGAGGTTCTCTTCCTTGAAATCTCCCTCACCGAGAACTGGCTCATTTTCATCACTCGTGCCAACGGCCCCTTCTGGTCTTCCATCCCCTCATGGCAGCTCGCTGGTGCTATCTTGGTTGTCGACATTGTCGCCACCTTCTTCACTCTCTTTGGTTGGTTCGTTGGCGGTCAAACCTCCATCGTTGCCGTTGTCCGTATTTGGATCTTCTCTTTCGGTGTTTTCTGCGTGATGGGCGGTGTCTACTACATCCTCCAGGGCTCTACTGGATTCGACAACATGATGCACGGCAAGAGCCCGAAGAAATCTCAAAAGCAACGTTCTCTCGAAGATTTCGGTGAGTCTTACTACTCTTCCAAAGGTTTTTGCTTGAAACCCCTGACTAACATTTTCGTGTTTCACAGTTGTCTCATTACAACGTGTCTCTACTCAACACGAGAAGAGCTCGTAAAAGGGAAAAAGGGAATTTATAGCGAGGCCTTGTTTATGGGATAGAGTTGCGGAGTGGAATAGAACTTTTTTTTCTCATTATCACGGTGCGATCTCTTGGGTGGAATTCACACAACATTTTTTATATCCTTTCGGCTTTGCCACAAGCACATTAATCTTTCCCCCAACGATTTTCGAACGAAAACACCGAATTACAAAGATAGAGATGCTATGACCCTCCTTACAACTTACTCGAATAAGAGCCGCTCGAAAAGAAATCAAAAAAGCAAAAAATCTTTTCCCGTTTGTACTTGGACTCGAAAAAGGAAAATACCCTGACTTCAGTTTGTCTATCGTAAAGTGTGTTTCTCCTCACAATCTGTGTTTGAATACAAGCTGGGGACTGCTATCTTGAATTTGTACAGTTGCTTGTTGACAGCTTCCCCTTCCCCTTGGATAGTTTTGGCAGCATATATTATTCATTAACTACTGGTTACTTCTCTGCTCGCTTCTGGCTCGATGTGATCTGAATCGGGACTTGAAGCTGAAAGAACCATTCTTGGTTATTTAGCTGTTAAGTTCAAAAGCATCCAAAACGAGGCGTGCATGGCGAGCGTTGGCTTCTATGCTGCGATGCCGTTTGAGCTCCCTATTATGAGTGCTACTCCGTTTGTTCAAGTCTGCTTGAATTCCCGTTCTCCTCCATTTTACCGCGTTCGCCGCTGGCCGCTTTTTTTACTTATTCTTCGTCACTGTCCGCACTGCTCGGAGTGTACCTTTCTTTTCTCTGTCTCGACTTTGAAGATGCATTTACGTTCGTTTTGGCCCAAATAGACTGTCTGGTCACTGTGCTATATATTATTCCATTCTTTTAAATAAATTTTTCTTTCTTCTTAGTTCATCGACTGATTTACTATGTGTGTACTTCCCCTTTTCCCGTCTTGAGCGATACTTTGTCGAAGGCGAGCGTTTTCCTTCCCGGGTCCTGGTGGCATAATTCTAATTCTGTAGCCAGTCGAGAACACTCTTTTGTATGATTAAAAGCTCTAGATAGACTTTTTCCCCCATAGAAATTCCCATTTTTTTCATCACATCGTTGACCAGCGTTTTATATCGCCAGTGGTCCCTGGGCTTAAATTACATAATCCGCCTGATATTCCCTGGTCCGCAACCTGGCAGCCAAATCGGAACTCTGACATCAACATCAAATCCTGCGTCTTCAGCCTTTTGGTCTAACTTGCCTCCGGATTCCACCCTCCAACCAAGTATTTGCGAAGCAACAAGAAGTCCCTTTCCCCCGGCATAACCGGCATGTTCTCCTCTGTGCCGCAGATACAGGGTTCGCATGATGTCAACACCCTGCCATGGATGGGACGTGAAACTCAATTTGCTTGCGAGCAATTCGAGTGACAATTGGATAAGATGTATCTACGTTTTGCTATTGAATGGATACTCTGGAGAATGGGCGATTATGAAGTTTACCTCCGCCCATCAGCCTGCCGCGTGACTCGCAGCTTGCTCTCCCACAACCCCCCACAGTGCTCTTGAATTCCCTGTTCTTTGGCCATTAGGCTTCAAATATATTGGAATGTCCTCTTTGCTCATCTGACCATAAATTATAATTTCTTATATTTGTTCATTTTCGTTAGGAACTGAATTGATATACCGTTTTCTTTGTGGCTCAATTTCGAGTGTGTTTCTTTGATACTTAAGATATTCGAAAACACATCAGCCTGTTGATGACATAGGTGTTCATAATGGACGAATCCCCGGTTGCGTCAAGAAACCATGCCTTTGACGAAAGCCCCACAGAGAGAACGGCAGGCCAGTCGAAATTAAAAGCGTACGTGGTGGCTGTTATGGCGCAGAAGTCGCAGGAGCAACGTTTCCAGCGTCGAACCTCTGTGTATCAGAAACATAATCTTTTAGAGCATATCAAGAAGAAGTCATGGTCCGGGCCCCCGTCAGAAGTAAGCCCAAAATCTATCCGCTCCGTAAAAGTGTTCCGTTGTTAATGTTGATGCTTCGCAGACTATTTATGGCGGCCTTTCGGCATCCGCTGCGGAGAGTGATGTTGGGATCGCCCTTGCGGTTCGGGACGCGACGTACTTTCTCGACTTTGCGGAGCAGCATTTCCCTCGTGAGGAGACCAGCGACGTCGCTCAGATGATTACGGACTTCGTCATTGACCAGGTTCGGAAATACAAGGTGGAACACATGGAGAAATTCATCGGGATAGCTCTCCCCATCAACCTGGCTGTGCATTGTCCACGTCTTTGCCCACGGTTATGGGGCGAGTTGGATATCGTTCCAGTGGTACTACATGGGAAAGGGGTGCATAGTGTTGGCTGGATCAACACGGAATTATGGAACTCGAAAATGTTGGACGAGCAGGCTGAATCAATTGCCCGGAAATGTATAACGTCAGTCTCTGCTGTGGGGAAACCGTTATTAGGGTTATTATATTTTGATGTTGACTTTGCATAGATTCTTTGGTCCGAGCAAAGCGCCACTGCTGCAGGTCGGCTATCGAGGGAACGTCGAGGTTGATGCAGGGTTCCACGCTGTTTTGGCCACAGTTAGCGACTATCAGAAAACCGTTGGCGAAAGGACTTGGTCTGCAGTGCAAAAGTATGCGGCTGATATGAAGAAGCGCAATGTCAAGGTTGCTTTCTTTAGCAGTACGCCACAGGGCGGTGGTGTTGCTCTCATGAGACATGCTCTTGTGAGATTCTCTGAGGCCCTCGGAACGGATATCAAATGGTGAGTTCCAAAGGTGATGGTTTAAAATCTTTTGCACTGATGTTTTCAATAGGTACGTTCCACGTCCGAGACCAGGAGTATTCCGCGTCACCAAGACGAATCACAATATCCTGCAAGGAGTAGCGAGGCTAGACGAACGACTCACAGACGAGAACAAGGAGCTGTTGACGCACTGGATCACGACCAATGCAAAACGTTACTGGCTAGTAAAGGGGGGCCCATTGGACCTCCCTGAGAACGGGGGAGCAGATATTGTTATTATCGACGACCCGCAGATGCCCGGTTTGATTCCACTTATCAAAGACCTCACTCCGAACCGGCCGGTGATTTATCGGAGTCATATTCAGATTCGGAGCGATTTGGTAGATGACCCTTCCACGCCACAAGCGGAAGCCTGGGCGTACTTCTGGGACAGTATTAAGCGGGCCGATTTATTCATCAGTCACCCTGTCAGCGCTTTTGTTCCAGCTACTGTGAACTCGGAATCTGTGGGCTATTTGCCTGCTTCAACAGATTGGTGAGTTGCGTTATCCACAAATACGCTATCATGCTTATGTGAGGATTCAAGATCCTAACTCTGTTCTAGGTTGGATGGCTTAAACAAAACCATGGAGGATTGGGACGTTGGCTATTACGGACGTATCTTCAATGCCAAATGTCGCGAGATCAATATGACAACTATTGACTATCCTAAGGGTAATATATGACCGTTAATATACACCCCCCCCAAGCTTGGTTGGCTAACTTGTGTAGATGAATACATTGTCCAAGTCGCCAGATTTGACCCTTCTAAAGGAATTTTCGATGTTATACAGTCTTATGCCAAATTCTTTGACAAGGTAAAGGACGAAACGACGCCCCCGAAACTTCTCATTTGTGGCCACGGTTCAGTGGACGATCCCGATGGCGCTGTGATCTACGACGCTGTCATTGAATACCTTGAATCTCAAATGCGCCATCTTAAACAATACATATGCGTGATGCATGTCCCTCCTTCAGATCAGATCCTCAACGCCGTTCTTTCAAAGGCCAGAATCGCTTTACAGCTCTCAGTCCGAGAGGGATTCGAAGTCAAGGTTTCAGAAGCACTGCATAAAGGCAAGCCTGTTATCGCCACCCTAGCCGGAGGCATTCCGCTGCAAGTCCAGCATGGAAAGAATGGATTTTTGGTAGAGGTTGGAGATACCGATGCTGTGGCGCAGCATCTCTATGACCTATGGAGCAACGACGCACTATACGACAGGATGAGCGAGTATGCGAAAACAAGTGTCAGCGATGAGGTGTCGACTGTTGGCAATGCTCTATCTTGGCTGTACCTTGCGTCTCAGATGACTAAGGGCAAGACTTGCAAACCACATAGTCGTTGGATCAATGATATGGCTAGAGAAGCCGCTGGCGAGCCGTATGTGAAGGGTGAGAATAGATTGAAGAGGGAAGTCCATATGAAGCCATTTGGCTACATGGAGGGTTAGATGAATGCTTTGCATTACCTTTTGCTTTGAAATTTCTGAAGTCATGAAGAAAACGGTTCATCCCTGTATTTTTCAGCAGAGTACTTGCATACATTTCTATATCATCGAATATCAGAGAGTAAGGAAAGTTTCTAAGATATTCATGGATGCCACTAGAAGGCCCAGGCGGCTTTGGGTTTGGTTTGGAACCTTCAACTTCCAGGCCAAACAGAGATATCAACCACTATTAAAGATCTGGCAGACAGATATCTCTCCCCATAGACTAGGACACAGTGGCTTTTATTATATATCAGCCTTCATCCCCAGAGACACAGCTTCCATGATTATATAAGTGGACTTCCCTCACGTGCTATGAACCCTCCTTTGCAAGGGCAGAGACGCGATTCTCCTGCAGTTGCTTTTTTCACTGTAGATTTTCTCTCTTCTGCACATCTATTGCAAAGATCAATGAATTTGCTTTTGCTGAGAAGATGAGCCCTCGTGAGATACCTGGGTACTACTATGGTGAGCAAGCCCCTTTACTTTCCTGCTTTGGAGAGCATGATATCAGTCATTCCCTCGGCGACAATTGATGCAATGCATCATGGTCTGGATTTCTAGTGTGAAGTCTGAGATTGCTCAGAGCACCCGAGAAATATATGCATAGGTGTGCAGTGATAGCTGCCACGCGCGATGGTTCTTTTTTTTTTTATTTTTCAATTTGGGAGACAGCACCAGGCCTATTGCTTTTGTGATGGCTATAACTTAGCAACAAGCTTAAACTGCTATGCAGAACATGCAGCAATATGGCTGCTCATGTTGCGAGTTGAGTCTGACCATTCTCTAGACCCAGAAAAACAGAAATACTTCAAGATACAGCCAAACCAGCTAGTCCCCCAAGGCTCAAAGTACTCAAAGCAGGAGGTTTCCAAGCGCCAGGAGTCGGCCGTTGTTAGTGTATCTGTTCCCAAGTTGAGAATCTTTTGAGAATGCTGACAGACACCCGATAGAAACGCAAGAAGCTGGAAACCTTTGAAGACCGTGTGTCTACAGAAAGAATCAAACCTGCAGGAATCCTTCGCCACCCTATCATCGGTAAATTGGGGCTGCAGAGAGAAATCGGACAGCATCGGCCACGTACAAGTACATTTATGCAGCAGTGTGGTGAAGCCTCTGTTCAGTTATTTGAGCGCAACACACTGCTTGACCTGCATACTTGGGACCCTAGGTTGATCGTGAGAAGCGTGGATAGAGACCCGCGTACGGCACGCATTTTTACAGGTAAGCCAGGCTGGATCCCTATTAACCACATTGGCCTTGAAGTCGTTTTTGTATTGGCTGCTAATCTGCCATATAGGTCTTAATATAGCTGGTCCTTCAGGATTCCGGTACGTGGATTATCGGCCAATCATAGTATAGAGCTTGCTAAAAGGACCGCAAGTTGTTTTCCCCCTACAGCATCAGAGATCGCAAAAGGTTACGACCCCGAGACTCAGTGTTATGGCTTTATGGGGAGGCGCGACGAATATGTATGGGCCAGAGCTGTTTCATTGACTAGATTGGGGACCCTAACGAGAACTCTAGGTCGAATCAATTTCGATTTCTCACCCAGGGCATATGATGTATGTTTCCCCTTATACCCTTCAATGTTGTATTTCCAAAATATTAATCAATTTGCTTCAAAAGGACTCTTTCACACAATTTGATGGGACTCAGTGTCAGCCTCGCTGTGGGAAAGTTAGTCACAATTGAAGATGCTGTATCTCTGCCTGAACAGACATTTACGGGTATGGACGGTTTCTCTCTTGTCTCAGAGCCAATTTTCTGATGTTGGACATAGAAAGCCAGGTTTACTTTAGTCGCCCAGGATGGTCGACTTGCAATATCGCCTCCCGGCCCGATAGTACCTCGAGCGCGTTCACAGTCGGTTGCGGCTCAGACCTGATTACTCTTACAAATAATGAAGCTCAGTGGACTCTTGCTACGGTCCAATCGTTCACTTCTCCTATCCGATCCGTCGACTGGCTTACCCAAAACTTGATTCTTGCTGGTTCAGTCTGCTCGAAAGTCTGGATATACGATATCCGAAGCCAAGGTGCGGCCGCTAGACTTCAGCACGGGGCCCCGGTACAAGCTCTTAGAAGACTAGACGAGTGGAGAGTAGTGGTTGCTGGGTCGAATCGTACGGTATGTCTCCTGGTGGTCTTTGAAATGATTTGCTTCTCTAATTCTGGGCTCCATTTTTAGATGAAAATGTATGATCTTCGATTCGCGTCAGATTCCACAGGCGATCACCCTCCACCAAACCGCTCAGACCATAAAGCGACAACGCCCTACCTGAATTTCCCGGAAGTACAATGCACTTTCTTTCACAATATAGATGTTTGTCCTGAGCTTGGCCTTCTCGCCTGCTGTAGGTTCTCGCTAGCTCTTCTATACAGACTGTTTCTAACCAGAAAATAACAGCATCCGAACTCCGAAGCGTCCAACTCTACTCGCTCGCTACGGGCAAGAAGCTTGGGCCTGATGCTGACTCCATTCCAGTGAAATCCGGCACGCCGGGTCTTAACCCACGGGGAGATGAAACGTGTGTGACAGCCTATTGCTACGGAGAGCCAGTATCTCATGTGAAGTTTGAGAATTTGCCCGACAGGCTTGATTTACTCAAGGACAATGACGATGAAGGAGGGCGAGATTTTACAAAAGGAGCGGGTGTGGGAAAACCGAGTCTTTTAGTTGCTGCAGAGAATGTCGTGGACGAGTGGCGCTTGTGAAGCCTGCTTATGCCGTTTAATGCTCAACGGCTCATGGCGTTGTTTGATACGTATTTGGTGTTCTGAGATGCTATTTGAAGGGTAATAAAAAAAAAAGAAAATAAAGCGTGGCCTGGGAAGGATGGAAACGGCATCAAGTTGCCCTGGGAGTTAAGGAGTAAGATTGGGTGGCTATTGTGTCTGTTTACTCTGTACCTGTATGAGTGATACCCCCCCATTGCTATGTTTCATAGGAAGCAACATGGAGTTTCATTTCCATTTATACGTGGTTTCTAATATTTCGTACATAACTACATGGTACTAGTATGTTGGCTCTATCTGAAGTCCGTGAGTACACTGTATTCCTCCAAACTCCAAGCTCTTCCGCTCCACTTAATGATACAGGTGATATACTTTTCCAGATCCGTAAACCAAATGCATCTGCACTGGATTGGTTTTCAACATTGGCAAACCTCTCCAGCCAAAAGCTCGTTCCCGCGCGTGCCTCTTACATCCCTCTCTCCTCGGGGAACTCATCAGCAAGCTTGAACCGCGCAACGACATTCATACTAAAAAGCTCTTGAACCAGCAACTTCGCTGCATACGGGATCGCCATCTTCACCACGCCCCTTGACGTCTTGCACCGCTGACACCACCCCAAGTAGCCCATAAACCCACAGTTCTCGCACACATCAACTTCATGGCGATCAGACGAAATCATCAGCCGCTCCAGCAATAGCTGACTGGTGCCGTACGCGATGAGGCAATCACGTTCCATCTCGCCGAGGCGAAGCCCACCATCGCGCGATCGACCTTCTGTGGGTTGGCGTGTGAGAATGGCTCGCGGACCGCGAGCGCGGGAGTGCATTTTATCTTGGACCATGTGCTTGAGTTTCTGGTAGTAAATCGGTCCGGTAAACACATACGCGGGAAGAGGTTCGCCGGTGATGCCGGAGGTAAGATAGTCTTTGCCGCCGTAGCTGAAGCCCTTGGAAACGAGAATGGCCGACATTTCCTCGACGGGGCTGCCGCCAAAGGGCGTACCGTAGCCGAATTGGCCTGAGAGGACGCCAGCTTTGCCGACCACGAGCTCAAGCATTTTTCCCACTGTCATACGAGACGGGAAACCATGCGGGTTCATGATTATGTCTGGGACAATGCCTTGGTCCGTGAAGGGCATGTCAGCTTGCTCGGCGATGATTCCCACAACACCCTTTTGTCCATGGCGCGAGGAGAATTTATCGCCGACCTCTGGACGGCGGGTTTGTCGCGTTTGTACCTTGAGAAGTTGGTTTTCTCCCTCCGTTGTTGAGATCATAACCTTGTCTATGTAACTCGGATCGGGAAGCTTGTATGTTTGAGGTGATGGAATGTATGCAATCGGCCCACCAGCGTCTGAGCCAGTGATCCCAGAAGACAAAGCGTTTTCTGGCGTGACTTTATTGATATAAACTTCGCCGCTGCTCACTTTCTCGCCCACGGCCGCCAGTCCATCGCTATCAAGGAGAGCGTGTTTGCGAATAGGAGCGCCATTCTCGCGGTCAGGTCCCAATAGCCTATCTTTCGTCCCATTTGAATAACTCTTTAGGTTGGCTGAATATTTACGAAACACCTGGCAGCGGCCGAATCCACGATCAACCGACGCTTTGTTCAATACCAAAGCGTCCTCGATATCGTATCCTGAGTAACTCATAACGGCAACCGTGGCGCTTTGTCCAGCGGGTAAGCGATCATATTTGACGAGCTCGATGGTCCTAGTTTTGACCATGGGTTTCTGAGGATAGACCATGGTATAAAGCAAGGAATCGATGCGGAGAAACTGATTGTTAGCAATAGCGCCTATGGCTTGTTTACCCATGGCGCATTGATACGTATTTCGGGGTGATTGATTGTGATGTGGATAAGGAATAAGGCCGGCAACAGCACCGAGAATGGTGAAAGGTTCGATTTCCAGGTGTGTTGTATTTTCATTTATCTCTCTCTCGTAAACAGAAATATAAGAATCGTTTTCTTCGTTTACATCGAGATATTCAACGAGGCCTTGAGCCAGGAAGTCATCGAATTCCATTTCGCCACTCCGTAGCTGAGATAAATGATCAGCTGTAACCCTTGATTTCTGCTTCTCAACGATTATTAGTGGACGACAAATTCGACCGTCATCTGTCGCGATGTGCATTGCGCTCTGATGGTGATTGATGTATATGCTGACGAACTCCGACACTCGTCCCATTCGTCGCAAGCGCCGGAATGAATTCAAAAAAAATTTCGGCCGTCTGGTTAAAGCGATGGGCGAACCGTTCAGGAATATTATATATGCACCTTGACCATAAAATTCCCGTCCGCCCACAGCCTGCACATCTTCAGCACCCAAAGCGTAAACCAGCTTTCGCACCGGCTCTTCCTCGTCGTTAGTGGTGATGTGCGTCATAAGAGCAAGATTCTTAACGAGACCGCAGGCTTCACCTTCGGGAGTATCCGCAGGGCAAAGCATACCAAACTGCGACGGCTGCAGGGCTCGAGGACCGCTGACCTTTCGAGTTTTTTCAAACTGACTGGATATTCGGGTCATCATACCCAATGCAGAAATATAACTTAGCCGGCTCAGCACATGGGTGACTCCAGCACGTTCCATACGGAATCGTTTGAGACTCCAATTGCCCGTTGAGATGGCACGATTCATGCCCTGCGTGATATGGTTCCCGTGGATCGCAACCACGCTAAAGGCATCAAACGCTTCGGTTCGTACGGGTTTCTTTAGAACTTTGTCAATGTTCATCTTAATATCGAAACAAAACTTTTTGAACAAGTCTTCAAACAATAGCGCGAGAAGTTGGCCAGCCAACTCCAACCGCTTATTGCCAACATAGTCGCGATCATCGACTAAGCTAGGATCGTGCTTTGCCATCAAAACGCGGCGCGCCATGTGAGCAACGTAAAGCGCTTTCGGCCGGAAATTCATATTTTCAACTTGAACATGGGATATAATGACAGATGCAATAGCCTCGACAGCTTCCTGGATATAATTTCGACGGACGCCACCAAAACTGTTCGGTTTTCGCATGATTTTGATATGTGAACCGAGGTATTCCAACGCTTGTTGTTGTGTATATATCCCTAGTTTGATTGACTCTTCGAAATTGATCGCGAAATCCTCCTGGTATACGCTGTCCACTCCGGCAACTAGAAGTAACATTTCTTTGTCAGACTGTATCCCCATTGCTTTTAGTATGATAACAATTGGTACGTCATCACTAAGGACGTTATGTCGCAAGTATATTCGGTCCTTTTTGAGGATGATATAGCTCTTAGATTTCCGCTCGTTCGAGGAACTATTGCGATTGTCAGACCGGATTGTGCTCTATTCATATTGTACTAAAAAGCAATTCGTACCTTGTCACAGAAGCCTGAACGATCTCTTTCTTCGGATCCGTTTCAACAATGACTCTGTTCTTGCTCAACTGCTCCTGCACAAGAATGACCTTTTCGGTCCCGTTCACGATAAAATAACCACCTGGATCCAAAGGGCACTCATGTAATTGATACATTTCGCCCGGCGACTTCTTCGAAAGAACACATTTGGAGCTTCGAAGCATGACAGGCATGCGACCAATTGCAGTTCCATTCCGCTTTACCCGTTGACGGCCGCGGACGTATTCAAAATCGACCAAGATCGGAGCAGCGTAGGTCATATCTCGTAATCGGCATTCGTTGGGGGTAATCGTAGATTCGACTTTGAAACGCGTATCTTCTGACTGTTCTTCATCCGCCCGCCTTGGGCTGCCGAGGTATATATCATGGAATCTAGCATTCAACGAACCAAATTAGAAACCTATTTTCCCGTTTCTTTCTGCCAGTAGCTGCACACACCTAATATAGAAATTCGGATCTACATCACTCCGGATTTCAGCGCTCGCCTGCACGATTTTTTTCAGCTGTACCTCCACAAAATAGTTGTACGAGTCGATATGCTGCTTGACGAGGCCCTTCACTTTCAGAAAGGCGGGAAGAAGGTTCCATTTATCCTTTTCGGTGTTGATAGGATCGGTTAGGGATTTACTGTAATAAAATGGCTGGAGAAGAGCTTCAAAGTCCTAGATGCGAAAAAAAAAAATATGTTCTATCAGCCGGCATTCCTTATTAGAGCGCAAGGAGCATCGAGCATACATCACGACCCCTGCCTTTGCTACTCTTTCCGCCAGTCCCAGCTCCGCCCTTTTGGGGTTGGCTCTTTGTGGCGGTCGCTTTCGGGGCTGTAGCCCGTCTCCGTTTGAGATTCTCCTCAGGTGCATCGGGCACGTTGGTGTGCGCAGACGCTGGTGCTCGTTTCTTCGGGGGCATTTTGGTCAATGCACTATGGTTCAACTTCCATTTACTCAACGGAGCGGAGCTATATTGTCATAAACCAAAGCTCGACACCTTACTGCTGCTCAAAGGTCTTTTGCGTGGGACGACTCTCGATATCTTTGGGTGACTAAGAAGATAAGCGGCGGGGAGCAATCCGGGCAATTGTTATTCCGGTTTTCTAGCCGCGCGACAGGCGCTAAACCGGATTATCGGAACAATAATACGCCGTGGGTAAGCGGCCTCGCTTTTTGCGGCTGGCGAGGAGCGGGAGCAAGCATTTGGTCAAACTGAACTTGTTGCCGCAAAAGCGTCGAGGAGCAAAATCCAGCGACGAGCTGTTAGCTCTACGCTAAAAGTTGGCGGCGTCGGTTTCTACAGGGAATTTATCCCGTTCTTCCTGAAGTCAGACGGATAGCCCCGGTCGAGAGGTCACGAGTTCTCGGTTGATTAATATATTTTCCGGCAACTTGGGGTATCCCGAGTCAACGTGATATCTTCCTGACTAGATGGTCTTGATTGCTAAGGGCCGAGGCTCCCCGGGGAGGAGAGAGATACATGAAACGAGATTCTGGGGCTCACCGGCGTTTCTCAGCGACTTTTGAACTATTGGCAAACCTATCCGGCATTGCTAAGAATTGAAAGGCAACCAAAAGGCAGTGGGTGGGTTGGACTGGTCGCCTTGCGATTCCTCAATTGCCAAATGTTGAGTAGAAGGATGCCCGAATCAATTTGGTAGTCATGCAGATATGTGGGGTAGTTAGTTACATAGCTCAATCGATGGAAGACCGAGATGGTGTAGCGGGACCGTACTCTCAAAACGACGCTCAACGCACGGCTGAAGAGCCAATGGAATACCGGTCAGGTACCAGTGCCTTATTCAGGCATGGGCCTCATTAACTTAGGCGCCCAATACTCAACGCGTTCGGCGATCTCCCGGTGTGGATGGAGTCACAATCGCTGTGAATCTGAGGAGCATCATGCGCGGCGCTTTATGAGAGAGAATATTGCCATTCATCCATCAGCAACCTGCTCAATGCATATCTAACCTTCGGCACCCAAGCTTTGTACTCCATCTCCCTCCCGAGACACTAAGCATGTAGTCCCGGGATGCCCCATACTTCGACCCTTCGTTTCCCATGATGTCGAGTGTGGTCCGACGTCGCACAGACCAGTCACGCTATTTCAAATATGTCGAGGTGATATGTCATCACAACGATTCATTTACGGGGTATGGAGGAAAGAGTATCTGAGCGTCCTCCGTGCTACTGTGTCGGTCACCCTTGGCGCTAGCCCGACAGCCCCGGGGATCATTCGGGCGAATCTTCCTCGCCCCAGAGAACTTGGTGTGAATTTGATGGGTAATATCATTGGTCCTTTGGAGAGCTCAGATCAGCCAGCGCGTGCTGCATGCATTGTTGCGGGAAGGATAATCTAAGTGGGCGGGTAAAAAGGTTGAGGCCGAGTGAATCGTGGCAGGCTCAGGTTCGGAACGCTTGTCTGAGCTGAGTTGCAAGCCTCTGATTGCATTTCCCCGTTCCAGACAAGTGTTTTCCACCACTGGTTACGTGTGGGAGCTTTGATTGATCGGTTCATTTGTCAATCCCGAGCGTTGGTTGCTTTTTGCGAAGAATGAAGCGGGATCCAGTAAGACTTGGAGTTCCCGAGCGAATTGCTGAGTGGAATCTTCACTCTAGGGTTTCATCTTGCAATGAGAGCAGTAATCGTAGGGAGGAGCTGAATGGAAGTTCATGATTGCAGTTCAATGCTGGGATGGAAGCTCCGATTGGGGTTCTCTGGAGTGAAACAACGGCATCACAGCTTTAAATAGCTCAGACAGCCGAACAAATCCCACTCAACCGTCGTCAATGCATGTTTGTGCGAGGCGAACAATGGATCGTCAAGGCCCTTGTTCAACTGTCTCTTCCATGACATGGCCACCTGTGACCCGGCACCAAGGTTGCAGGAAGTGGCATGTTCTGGGCCTGTGGAAGCAGACCAAGTGAGCGCCAACAATGCCAGGGACTGCCTGTCGTTCTGCGTGTGGGCTCGGCGCTATCCACGTTGTCTGACGGTGATAGGGCCCGGAGAGTCACGCACCAGGATGCTTCTTCGCCTTACATGTACCTTCCAGGAGGGCAGGCGATGGGTAGTTGTAGCAGAGCAGCACGGCCGATGGCCCAGAGACGAAGAGCAGGCCGTGTATGTGTGTGAGTGTGAGTGTGTGAGTGTGTGAAGAAGCGTTGGGCAAGCAAGTCCAGGGTACCTGTCGCAGTGCTTGGGACCGAGCGTGGTTGGGCGCTGGACGGCCGCGAAACAGGCGGTGACCCCTCAGTGGGATCAGGTAGCGGGTACCTCTTCAGCCTGACGCAACGCCATTTGCTCGTCTTTGCGGTCGCTTTGGCTGCGGTCTCATGCCAATCAGACTCGGGAGAATTTCGTCGTTCCGGGAGTCGAGTTGCGAGCCTTTCTTTTCTTTGCTCCGCCATTCGTCCAGTCGTGCAGCGGCCGCCTTGCCCCCCCGGAACCTGCGTCTGCAGCAGCGAGATCCCAAAACCCCCCGCCATCGATCACACAAGTCCCTATCGCAAAAAGAACCCAACGCCTCCTCTTCCTCCTCTTCCTCTCCCCTCTTTTCTTCTCCTCCATTCTTCCTTCAGTTTCTCGCGCAGAGACGTTGGCGGATTGGCCTGTACAACAGCTCTCCCCTCTCCCCCCAGACTTGCTCGACCGTTCCCTGGGACTACTTTACATACGCCGGCTCCCACGCGCACCATGAGCCAGAGGACTGCGGACAACACCGTTGACTCACTTCTGCCCGCATCTTTCAATTCACACTGAACGGTTCTTTGCTGTCATTCCGGCCCCATAAATTGACACCCGCAATCCGCCAGGGTAAAAGCCAGCCTGCCTCATCCGTTTTGCCTCCTCTCGTTGTCCAGTTCTTTGGCTGAGAGATTCCCTTAGAAGCTTCTCATAACTCGTAGACGGGATTACAGAAACCGCTGGGTTTCAAAGAGAGCCCCGAGAACCTCTCGCGAAGACCAAAATATTCGAAGTTGTGGGGAAGAAATATCCACGAGGCTCAAAACCACAGCGATTCACCGTTGGAGCTCCGGGCGATCCTTTGAGACTCGACGGACTCAATTGCAACCCCTCGACACGAAGCTGCCGTAAGTTCCTTTCTTTGTCTGAAAAGCATTGATAATTCCCGACATCGCTTGGAATGCCTGAGCCAGCCAGCGGGACCCCAAGCCAGTTCGCCTCCTTTGTAAGACGGTGTCTGTTAGACCAAGTCTCCCCCCAATCGTTGGGTTGGGCTAATGAGACAGCGCCAAACGTCCCGTCCCAAACTTCATCACCCCCTCTCAGAGCTCAACGTCTTCCTCTCTTCGCGCTGTTTTGGCTCGCATCCCTCTCTGTTTCAAGGCCCCCTTTTCCCTCGCTTTTGCCCGTCTCAATAGTTTTGTTCTGCTCCGTCGTTATGCAGTGTTGACGGCTTAATCCTGTACCCCTCACTTTCGTTTCGCAAAAGCACCTCCGCTCGACAATGCTCACCGACTGACCGCAAGAGGATGTCTGCAGACATGGCGTTCAAATCCAGCTCCAACGAACGGCTCAATGAGCTGGGGCTTGCCTCCCCGCGCTCTTCGCTCTCGGAATCTCCCTTCTCCAGCTTTCCTTCACCTCCCGCTGGCCAAACAAGCTTTAATTCAACAATCGGAACAGACATCCGCTCCACGATTCAACGGCGGTTCACGACCGATTCCACAAAGATTTCACCATGGATGGGATTTGGTCCGCAACCTGTGCCATTGCCTGAATCGATTGATATACTGTCATCTGTGGGTATCTCCTTTGCAGTTTGTTAAGAATTGTGTTCCTCACTGGTTTGCCTGGGGGTGGTATTGTTTCACACAACCTCACATTCGATTGTGTTCTATACTCTGCACTTCACTTATTTCTTTACTTTCATTCTACTAACAAACATTCTGTAACTGTTCTAGGCCACTCGAATGCACAAATCCCAGCTTGTGAGGAGCTTCCCCCCCCTTTGTTTCCCTTTACCCCTCACTCTATTACTTCTTTCAAAACCTCCTATTTCTCTTCAACCTCTCACTTTGAACCACATCTTCCTCACTTCCTTTTGCTCATACAGTTCTCTCACTCATTCTCACCTACATATCTAACTCAACAACAGTTTGAGAAGAAACGACAACATATCGAGTACATGAGAGAACAGAAAAAGAGATTTGAAGCAGACCTCAAACTTCTCAACCTTCAACAAGAGAAGGAAGAAGAAGAAATGGACCAGATCGCTCGAGATTTGGCACGGACTGGCCTTGGTGGACCGGTCAGCGAGCCAACTACCCCCCCTGAGTATCACGATTCAGGATTTCCCACTGCTCTGTCTCGTCCCGCTCGATTCTCCATCTCAAATGGACAGTCAACCCCTGGTCGTTTTAACAATTTTTTCTCTCCTCAGCTCACTTCTCCAGCTTCAAAAGCAAGTTCGCCATTTGGCTTAAACAACAGTGAATCAATTACTTCCAGCATGAATTCTCGGCGCAATTCTGAGAATGAGTTTCAAGCAAATGGGTTTGGCGCCTATCGTCCACGACATATGTAAGTTCCCCCCTTTTCTTTAAACCAACTATCAAAAGGTTTAGTTTCCTTTTCGCAAAAGTCTGTAACCAAGATCCCTGTTATTGGTTTGCTGTGAGAAAATCCTATTCTCACTGCGGGAACTATCCTTGTGATGTTTGATCCTCTTTCAATACTCTCCGTTTTCTATTGATATTAATGCTTGCCTCGTCATTTAGGAGTAGATACTCGATGTCAAACTCTACTTTCCAATCTTCTGCCCAGTCTACTGCATCCAATACCAGCAGCTTCAGCAACTCCTTGGGGTTTGGCGCCTTTTATACCGGCAAGCATTCTGTTGATGAAGATGAAAATAAACATAGAGAGGAGGAGCGCATGTCAACGCCTGATGTGAAAAGCTATTTGCGTTTGACTGATCCGGATGATAAATTTCCTACTTTAACTCGTCGAAATGATGATCCTAATGTGGTATGCGTCTTGGGAGCCCGCTTCTTGGTATATCCTTTGCTAATATAATTAATAGTTGTCTGCCAACTCTGCTGCTTTGGATTTAGCGAATTCGCGCACTCCTGTCCCTGAGGCATATCGTCCGAATCAACGTCATCACTCGGCCCACCAGAGTATGCCACAAACCGCTTTTGGTTGGCTTCACAGTGAAAATTCAAGTGATAAAGCGCACATTCCTACTACCAGCCCTGGATTGTCCAATGGAAATTATCATCCTCGCCATATCAGTCGCCTCTCATTAGAGGGAGGATTCTCGGGATACAGCTCCTCAGCCACGGGAAACACGCCGTCTCACAGTCGTCCAACCTCCCTACAGATCTCATACTCTACAAATGATGTCCCAACTATGAGAAATGGTGGATTTCCGACCAATATTACCCCTCCAGGATCAAGCAGTGATCACCATATGAATGGTGGTATCAACTCGCTTTCTCATAATCCTCACCAGCTCAACGATACACCCCCCACTCCTCAATCTGATCATAGTGATCCTATTTCAAGCATGCAATCTGGGTTCCAAGCTACCGCCGCTCCATTCTCATCGCAAATCAAAACTCCCGCCACCATGTCTACAAATGTCAGCGGTAGTGCCTCTCCCGCAAAGAACAACTTTCCTCACACTGGTTATGGATATGGAATGCAGCCCTGGGTCACCAGTCCTGTGCAAACTAACGGCATGCCACTTGCAAACCACCCTCCATTTGCACAACCTTTCCCAGCTTATCCTCGATTCCTCGACAACCCGGCAAGAGTTAACCAAATCCGACGCAATGGCGAGACTGAAGTTGGCGCTTTCTCTCGATTTGCCAATGTTCCACTTGAACAGTATCGAGATGAACTCTATGGATTATGCAAAGACCAACATGGTTGTCGTTATTTGCAGCGGAAACTGGAAGAACGCATCCCAGAGAATGTTCAAATGATCTTCTTGGAGACACATATGCACGTTGTAGAATTGATGACAGGTTAGTAAGCACATAAAGTGATACTGTCTGGAGACATCTAACTGAACATCTGGTTAGATCCATTTGGCAATTACCTTTGTCAGAAACTCCTTGAATTCTCAAATGATGAACAGCGCACTGCCCTTATCAATAATGCTGCTCCTCAGTTGGTATCCATTGCTCTAAATCAACATGGAACTCGTGCGCTTCAAAAAATGATTGAGTTCATTTCCACCCCTGAACAGGTACGTGACTGCACGTTACACGACGACATCATTCCCTGACGTGTTATTCTATAGACTCAAACCGTGATAAATGCGTTGCGTGGCAAGGTGGTAGAACTGGTTCAGGACTTGAATGGGAATCATGTGATCCAAAAGTGTCTGAACCGACTCTCTGTTGCTGATGCTCAGGTATAATCATCATGTGCAGTTCACACTATAGCAATTGCTGATTAAATCTCTTAGT